TTACAACTTGAATCACACCATTGCCGTTTTTGACTTTTCAGGTAGGGTGTCATGCTTTTTTTCTGGGGCTGGCCTTAGACCACAATCCTCCTACCTATGCATCCTGGATAGCTGGGATTACAGATGTGTACTGCCATGCCCAACTTGTTTGCTGAGATAGGAAACCAGCTAACTTTTTTCCCCAGGCTTGCCTCAAACTGCAACCCTCCTGAGCACCTGGAATTGCAAATGTGCACCATCTTATTTTTTTTTTTTTTTTTTTACTTTTTGGTACTGGTGTTTGAATTTGGGCCTTGTGTTTCCTAGGCAAACCACTTGAGCCATGCTCCTGGTCCTTTGTTTGCTCTTGCTATTATTTTGAACAGGGTCTCACATATACAATGAGGCTGGCTCTAGTAGCTGGGATGACAGGCACACTCCATCACACCCAGCTTTTATTAGTTGAGATGGGGGTCTCCCAAATATTTGCCTGTGCTTGCATTGAGTTGCCATTGTCCTGATCTCTGCCTTCTGAATAGCTAAAGTTATGTGCAAGAGCCACTGCATCTGGCCTATTGTCAAAAATCTTAATAAGCATTTACTAAATGCCTTGTAATCATATACAGGGTGTAACTTCCAATAAGAAAAAAGATCAAACTTGTAAAAACAGATAGAAAGTGATTATTTTAATTATTAAAATTTACTTACTTAGCTGACTGCCAGTAGCTCACGCCTATAATCCCAGTATTAGGGGTGCTGAAATCCAAAGGATCATGGTTTTAGGCCAGTCTGAGCAAACAATTCATGAGACCCCCATCTCCAAAATAACCATAGCAAAAATGGACTGGAGGTTTGGCTCAACTGGTAGAATACCTACTTTGCAAGTCTGAAGCACTGAGTTCAAACCTCATCCCTACCAAAAAAAATTTACTTCCTTGAAAAACAAAAGCTTTCATAAATTCCCCTCAATAATAATAATTTCTCTTAGGACAAATAGGATTAATTCAATTTACCTTACACACAATTATGAGTACTAGCCATTGAATTTTAAATTGTCTCCAAAGTCTGCTATTACTATCTGCCACCTCACTAAATGGAACTGACACTTCTATTCTTTTTAACTGGACATGTGGCAGATAGTCGGAAGGCTACTTAGACCCTCAGGGAGGATCAGTTAAGCCCAGGAGTTCAAGACCAGCTTGGACAACATAGTGAGACTCCATCTCAAACAAATACTCCCTGTTCATTATTTTTAAAAATAAAGTGTTTCAATTGAATGCTCCCATTGTTAATGTTAACTCTATATTCTAACTCACAATACCTTAGTTACATAAAAGATGCCTCCAAAAATGTACAGATGAGGTACCTTAACATCATGTACTATACAGCATCAACCAGTAAGAAGGTGAAAGCACAGGAGCTAACTTACCCATTTGCCACCTAGTAGAAGAATCAGACTCAAGAGTATCATGGACAATTACACACTTTAAAATGTTTTAAGTGTTGGCTGCACTTAAGTAACTTGTGATTGGACTATGAAAAAGAAGAAAAATTAAATTGATTTACAAAGAAATCTTACAACCATCATCTTTGGCCAGTTTATAAAGGTTAAGATTATCAATGATAAATTGATAACATGTACTCTATGAGAAGAGCACTTTACTTCTATGACAGTCTCCCTAAAAAACTATCTCACTGGCCAAACTGAGAAACACTGTAAAAAATACCTTACTGGCACCCCCCAAAACTATCAAGGTTATGAAAACCAAAAGTATCTGATAAACTGTCACCAAGAGATTAAAGAGACCAGATGACTAGTTATGATGAATGGGATCTTGGAAAACAAAAACATTAGCAGGAAAACTAATGAAATTTAAGTAAACAGCAAAATGCCAATGTGTTTCTTAAGTTTTCTCAAATGCACAATGGTTAAACTGTCACAATAGGAGAAACTGGGTGAGGGGGTACAGCACAATTTCTCCAACTTTTCTGAAAATCTAAAACTAACTTAAAATTTTTGTTCAATTAAAAAATACATTCCTTGAACAAAAGATGCCTTTGAATATTTTTCCAGAATATGATCTCTTCCTGTTACAATAATAAATAAGTGCACTTAACTCTACACTTAAAAAGCTGGTATGCAGAAGCCATTAGTTTTCACTTGGTATTGTCAGTTTTTGTAATTTTAGCAATTCTCATCTTCATGGTCTGATAACTCTGTGTATGTGTGTGTGTGTGTGTATACATGCACAAGCACTAAAGATTTTTCCCAGATTTTTATGATGGTAAAATTTCATGCAGTAAGATCTGTTCATTTCAAATAGACAATTTCTTACAAACTGTATACAGAAAATACAATAATTAAGAAACAGAACATACTCATTTCCCAACTCTAGCTTCTAAGGAATCACTGATTTTTCTCACTATACTTTTCCTTATCTTTATTTTGCATTTCTGATAACCAGTTGCCATTATCTTTTCATACATGTATTTACCACTACCCGTATCTACTTTAGTGAAGCCATCAATTCAAGTGTTTTGCCAGCTTTTATTGGAATGTGTTGCATTACAATTTTAATATAATTTCTTATGTAGTCATTAACCATAATGGTGTTTTAGTCAATGACAGCCCACACATATGAAGGTCTCACAAAATTGTTAACAAAGCTAAAAAGTTCTTATTGCCTTGGTCATGTTTTAGCTGCCTTAATGTAGTAAGGCGTTACTCACAGGTTTGTGGTGCAGCTAGTGTGAACAAGCCCACTGTGCTCCTGCCAGTCATATGAAAAATCAGAAATACACTAATACAGTACACAACGTGATAATGACAATAAACTATATTATTGGTTTATGTATACTGTATTTTTATCTTTAGAGTATACTCCATTTATTGACTGTAAGTCAGTGTGCCATGTTATGCTGGCAACAGCCTCATGCATCTCATGATAGCTTGTTTCTTATAAAGTAATTGAGGTGTGCCATGTAGGTTTGCGTAAGTACACTCTGATGTTCATACAATAAGAAAATCACTTGATGCACTTTCTCTGAATGGATCCTGTTAAGGGACTTTTAGCAGGTTGTATGCAACGTGTTGATATTTCTCATGTTGCTTTAAAGATTTGTTTTTATGGTTGATTTTCAGCAGTCTGACAATGATCTTTCTAAGTATAGTTTTATTTGGACTTATCCTAATTGGGATTTGCTGAGCTTACAAGTCAATAGTTTCTTGTAAGAGTTGGTCAATTTGGGGCCATTATTTCTTCAAGTTATTTTTTCCAGTTCTATTTTCTTTAGGTCTTTTCCTTCTGGATTTCCAATTACATGCATTGTTAGTCCTTTTAGCATTGTTTCACAGGACACTGAGGAGTCTAGGTATTTTCTTTGCTGAGATCCCTTCTGCTATTTCCTTTAACTTCTTGATCATGTGCATAATACTTGCCTTAAAGAGTGCAATATTCAAAATTTGGATCATTCAAGAATTTTCTTAACTGCTTCTTCACTTTGTAAGGGACTTTTTTCTGTTGCTTCCTACATTTATTAACTTTTTTATTGCTAACACGTTATGAAAGATTGTTGTAGAGAGAGAATCTGCATTGTATCTTCCTGTGAAGAGTGTTGATTTTTTTTCCCAGTAGGCATTTTGATCTCTTCATTGTTACTTTCAGTTTAAGTAGGCTAGGTTTAACGCTGTTATTGTGGATCTATGAAGAGCTCAAGGTATTTCTCAAGCCCTCTTAATTTGTCATTACTCTCCAAATTCTGTCTCCCTGACAATCTTGTTGAGACTTGATTTTAATATATATTTTAGAATGTGAACATTTCTTTAAGTGTGAAATCTGAAATAAGCAGGCAGAGTATTGTTTTGTTTAACCTCAATTATAAGCATATTGGGTAGAAACCTTTTTGTCATTCTGTGCATTTCTATGAATGACTGTAAAAGCACTTGTAATGATTTTGGGGTTACAAGTAAATTTTAGTAAGTAAGCAAATTTGTAAGCATTGAATCTGTGAGGACCAACTTTCTTTTTCTACATAGCATAATAAAAAAGATATTTTAAGGCTTAAAGGTTAAGTTTCAATATAAATATTTTGATGTAAGTTTCCCCTCAATATGATCCATCACAGATAACTTTTCTTACTGACAAGTCACCATTGTAAGAATCAAGTAAATAATGCTAAAATCTATTTAATCTTTAAGGTTTTAGATGTATAAATGTATGTTCTTAGATTAAAAAGCTCCAGTTGGCAATAATTTTTTGATTTCTTATTTGTGTTTTTTGTATCTTACTATTGTTTTTTAACTATAAGTTCAATATACCTTAGCTATATGTCCTAGTAGAAGTAAACTTTATGATTTTTCTCATCTGTAAGATGAAGAAACTGTATTTCTAAGGTCCAGGTGTAAAATTCTATTCCTCCTTTTCTAGTTGTCACTGTTTCTATTTGTTCTTCCTAATTTTCTGCTTCTAACCCTGTGCCTTAGAAAAACCAGAAAGCCAACTCTATTAGATAAAAAGCACTCTAAGAAAAGATTTGAGATCTTTTCTAAAGAATGTAAATACATGTTTTAGCAAATAAAACACATGCACATGCTTACTCTCTAAATCCCAGCTATAATCTAAGTAGACATATAAAATCAGTTGTACATTCTAATGGTAAACAAAGCAACAGTAAACAAAACAAAAAAACCCACAAGAAACTGTTAAATAAAAATAAGCCAAATACCTTACCTAGATCACTATGTGCAGAAAAATAAAGAAAAACATTCTTCCTAGTGTTTTCAGTAATACAATGGCTGTGATAATAGTGATATAAAAAGTTTCAAAAGAAGTCAATATTAAAAAACCTTCAAAGTATACAATTGACTGTTGATTTATTTATTGTATTAAATTATACCATGTATAAAACTCTCTATACAGAGGGATGTAATGCATCACAATATATACAATTATCTTTAAAAAGATGCAAGGTACAATGACAATGAATATAAAATTTACAGTAAAACATTCTCCAGAAGTGATTTATTTGGCTGTTCTTGTTCTAAGTCGTCGTTTGAGAATATGGTGATCACTTTCCTTCATTTTCTGCTCCATTAAAATCTGAAATTAACAATTTTCAAAACAGATAAAAATTAAAACTTTTTATAATTGGTGATGATAAACGTTTATGTACATCACTGACACATAAAAGATACATTAGAATTTTTTGTCTTAAGACTACAGATACACCATCTTCTATAAGAATGTGTGCTTTAGATTTTATAAAAGATTCATTCAACCCTACCTAATTCTAGAATTAAAATAACCTACATTCTGCATTGAATTTAGGGCATATACAAGCTTACAACAACCACTGTAATATTTGGAGACAAGTGCCTCAAACTAATTTTTAAGAAAGATCTTTACAACAATAAGTATATAACTTAGGATGCAAAAAACACATTACACTATAACTAGAAATGATCTTCAGCCAAGGGAAGAAATTATGTACTCATCAGACAGATGGTAAAAAGTGACTAACATAATAGTACTTAAAATAGCATGGCCTATTTTATGATCCTAATTCTTTACCAGTTGCCTTCAAATATCAGTCTCATAGCTGAGAGCTACAATTGCAAAAAAGGTCTCTCCTCATTTTTCTTGGCCACTTCCTGTTGAAGTCTTTAATTACTTTTCTACCTTCACTTTCACTCACTAAGCAAATATAAGCACAACAGAAAATTAGAACTTTCCCCAGTAACAGCACAGACTGTTCTGGGTAAGGAGAATGACTACCATTTTGTCTTAATAGAGCCTGGAAGGCTTAGAGTAAAGGTGGGAGGAAATGGCTCAATGTGTAACAAAGTATGTGTAACACACATACTTACACTCAGATTTGTGTAACTCTTGTGATAAAGATAACAAAGAAAAATGGATGTTAGAGATAAATAAATTTACTAATTTACTGATAATTCTATTGACAGAAGTATATTCCTGGTGAGATGTCAAATGCAAATGCATGACACTTACACAGTATTTATATTTAATTACTATATTTGAGGTTAACATATTTGAGCCCAAAAGTATACCATTAAAAGCATGTGTTTTAAGAGATCTGTTCTAAATAAAAGGAATTGAAATAAAATTCAAATTATGACTATTTCAGAATTTTAAAAATATGAATACTTTCACATTGATGAAAATTGAAACACTAGCTTACCACTTGACCAGATATATCAATAGGAGATGAAATTTCATTTGTGTATAATTTCCTTTTGGCTCTTTTTGGTTGAGACACATTTTCTTTACTTGCTTCTACATTTGTAAGCTTTGAAGAGCTCATTGTTTCTATTATCTTCTTTGCTACAAATAAAAATATTAATTTTCTAACTGCAAAAGTTTGAAGAAAAAACATATACAATTTAAAACAATGCAATATTTAAATGGTGATGGGACATGAATATACAACTGATAAAGAAAAACTTAGGCCAGGCTTATGAGTGCAATTCCAGCTACTTGGAAGGTATTGGTAGGTGGATCACCATCCAAAACCAGCCCGGGCAAAAAACCATGAGATCCTATTATAAGACAATAAGTAAAGCTGAAAGGACTGAGGGTGTGGCTCAAGCGGTAGAGTCCTTGCTTAGCAAGTACGTGACCCCTTAGTTCAAAGCCTAGTACCAAAAATAAAAACAAACAAAAAGAAACCCCTCAACCAACCAACAAAAACCCAAGATATTATAGTATAATTAGTAAGACTCAGGCATATTTAAGAATTGGAAAATGTTTATGCTATGTTAAACCAAGGAGAAGGGTCCATATATGGTAGGCCATGTAGCATTAAAAATAAGGTATTTAAGGCCAGCTATGGTGATACATGTTTATAATCCTAGCACTCAAGAGGCTGAAGCAAGACCTTGAGTTCAAAGCCAGCTTAGGCTACACAGTGACACCATGCCTCAATAAAAAATAAATAAATAAATCATTCAATAAATGGTAGATTTAGTCCAATACTCATAACAAAAAGATATCCATAATAAAAAAATGCTTTGTAATAATAAACCCTTTTACCTATAGTTCAGAAGAAAAAGCAAAAAAAGCAATGGTCTCAAGGCAAAAAAGAAGCTGTCATATTCTAGGAGCCATAAGAAGCTAGTAAGATTGAAGTTGTCTAGTTATCAACCAAAGAATAACAGGGTAAGTTGGAATAACAGGATAAGAGTAATAGGATAGGTGGAAACAGAATTGAAATTAGATGATGCAAGGGACTGAAAAATTGTAAGGACTTAAAATGGAGGAGTAACATAATTTAATTTGCACTTTTGACTGAATGGGTGGGAGATGGAGCAGTAAAATTGAGTTATATATTAACTATGATTATCAAAGCAGCAAAATCTAAAGTAAGACCTAAGCTTTAGGTTTTTTTTTCCAAGTTTTTATTTCCAAGTGATCCACCACAATAGACATGTATTATAACTACAATCCCAAATAGAGCTATCTTATATTCCTAAAAATAATGTAAAAATATTGAGAGGGAAGCTGCTAAGAAACTGAGTCAATTAAGTAAGGGAGTCAACCATTTCCTTGAAAACATTTTTTTAAAATATATAATAGCTAATATAATCTAAATAGAATACAAAATCTTCTAAAACAAGAAATTCTTCCCTGCCAGAAGTGGTGGTACACACTTGTAGTCTAGCTTCTCGGGAAGCTGAGATGGGAGGATCACTTACATACACCAGTTTGAGACCAGCCTGAGCAACATAGCCATGCCTCATCTCATGAGGCATGAAAAAAGAAAGAAGTCCTGCCTCTCCAAATTTAAACACTTCTTAGTTTGCCATTTGTCCCTCCACATATTTCCTAAGCTTATAAAAACTATACATAAAAAAGGGTATTTTCTTTTGATAAAATAAATGGGCCTGACAAGTCTAAATGTCAAAACTGTACACTTAAAAATATGCTGCAGCAAACTTTAAGAGCACCTCGTGTTCATCTTCACAAAAATAGTATCCTGGAATTCAAAGTAGTTCAGTTTCAAAATGGTATCATGTTAACATTACTTTTGAAGATGAAACATGCTTTTGCAACCTGGATTTTCAGAAGCTGAATTTTCAGTTGGCCGTAAATTCTAATGGATGAGACTACTAGGTGATTCTTTGGGTGTAAGGACACAATAAAAATAATTATTGAGATAATAAGGACACTGAGTAAAGAAAGTTTGAAAACATCTGCAGTAAGTTTTTACATAAACTTTTTGACTCAACAGGTATCTTGTTTTTAGTCCTTTTCCCTTTCCATCTTCTCCACTCCTAACCTTTACATCCTACTACTGTCACTCAGGTAATCTCATAAAAACTCCTCCATACCCTCTACCCCAAACAGTCCTTTCATATTTTACATGCCAGATATATACTGCTACCTGGAAGTTCATGAATATTCTCCATACTGTTCTGGTAATTTACCTGTATTAAAACTATTCCCTCTGGTAAATGTGCATATATATATATATATATACACACACACACACACACACACATATACACACACACAAACACACAGCATATACCTTAATACAGACAAAAGCATTAACATATCCACATCATATTATAAAGAAAAAAGCACTAAGCATACTACTCTGTAAATTCAACAGATATTTACAGAAATACACTGTTAACTCTAATATATGTTTATATAGGCATACCATTTTGTACCTCTTATTAGGCAGCCTGCTCTATCTAGAACAATTATTTAAATGTAAGTAAGCCTCTCTCCTGCAATATATAGTGAACACTAAGGCTCATCATTCTTTCATCTGTTTCTTTTGATAGAATCTAGTATAGGATGCCTATTTAAAGCATAATGTTCACTGCACTGAATAGTCATTGAGTTTATAGACAATCAGATATTAGGAAGCACCCTACATGTAATAAAAAAGGTATTTAATTTTCTGCAAACCTTTTGACTGAAGAATTGTTGGAGAATGTTGTAAGAAGTCTCCAAATTTCTGTAGCGTTCCTTCTTTTTTCTTAGTGGTCAAGTCTACACTAATTGTGGGAGCCTTACTCCTTAAAGAGTATGTTTTCTTGAATGACAGATGTGTGGAAACCTAATTAAAAAAGATTATTTTTGTTACTGTTGAGAAATGTTAGAAGGCAATTAAATGTTAGACGTGAACTAAAGAGACCAGAGATAAGCTACAAATTCTTGGGTAAGGAACTTGGAAATGAGTTTATGCAAAGAGGGATGAAAAGGCTAAAGAATGCAAAATGAGTCTGACAGCTAGAGCGCTAAGTCAGAAGTGAACACATGAAGTGCCTGCTAATGGTAAAATGCTAAAGATTACATTCCAAATTGAATTACATGTATAGGAAGTGGAAGACAAATGAGTTATAGCTGGACACAACTGGATAATTACTAATCAGAATTCAACATCATAATTTACAGTTTTCACTTTATAATGTAAATTATGGAAATATTCAATTTTGGACAAATTAAAAGACAGACCTGCTTTTCCTTTTTGACAGAAGAATTTCTATGCTCTGAATCAGAAAACTTCAAATTAGTTCTAGGTGTAGCATTATTCTTATTTTCACATTTCACCAAGTCCTGAAAATAATGAATTTCAGCATTGGTTAATTTCTTGACAATATTTAATTTCTCTAGACTCAATAAAGAACACCTATAAAATGGAACATACCACGTAAAATAGTTGTTATTTATTACTTTTTTTTTTTTTTTTTATGACGGCAGTTCTTAACCAGGAGCAGTTTTGATCTCAGAAGACAACAGCAATGTCTGGAGATATTTTTGTTGTCTTTGCCAGACACAAGGAACATATTATTGGCAACTAGTGGGTAAAGGACAAGAATGCTACTCTGTTGCAGGATAGCCCCCACAACAAAGAAGTATCCAGCTTAAAATATCAACTATGCTGAGGTTGAGAAACCCTGACTGAAAGTATGAATTTTGCAGATACATTACAAATAATGAAATTACACATAGCTAAATGAAAAACCTAGAAGGAATACCATGTTTTATTTGAACTTCCTGTTTAATAAAAGTACAGCAATATACCTATCCTTTTCAATTCCCAAATCATATAGGCATCTACATCTAAGACTTCTCATTAAATTTGGCAACATAAAGCTGGGGGTTGTGGCTCAAGTGGTGGAGTACTTGGTTAGCAAGTGCGAGGACCTAGATTCAGTGCCCAGTACTGCAGGAAAAAAAGAAAAGGGCAAAACAAAACTTCACATGGGTAAAACGTGAAGATTAAATATACTAAAAATTTTCTTCTTTACTAAATAGACATGGCATCTTATTCTTCATTTTTCCATAAACCTCACATTCACTGAATTCAATTGTAAATGCTAGTTGTAATGAAGAATATAAGCATAAAAGGAGGGGGAAGGTAAAAATACTATGACTGAACAACAGAATCCAAGTTACAATATAGAAGGCATAAAGGCCATAAAAAGCAGGCTCTACCAAAAAGGAAAGATAACAGTAATCATAGGAAGCAAGTGAAGAAAGACTATAAGGCTATACCATCACATTCACAGTGTTCAGTAAAGAGCTCTCTGTGGAGTCTTTACTGCACTGGATTATAAAATAGCATTTCATAAGGACCCACATAGTCAATTTATTACAGCAATAAAGATGTAGTAAACCCAGTTAGAAATTTTAAGTTTCTTTTTAAAACAAAATATAGAACGCTTCAGGAATTTGCTGGTCATCCTTGCACAGGGGCCATGTTAATCTTTGCATCATTCCAGTTTTATATATGTGCTGCCAAACTGAGCACAGAAATTTTAAGTTTCAACATGACATCCTGTAACAATCTGTATATCTCTTCTAACACAAAGACAGAATATATACCAAGAGTAAACCAATAAAGTATTTTAACCCTCATAAGTACTACACTAAAGTTTTCCTTAAGGTTAAAAAAAAAGATCCATGAAAATTCAATATGCCATATACGATGATGAAATTCAAGTACTTACTGTTTTAGTGGTATTTAAAGTGTACTGAACATAAATTATATAAGGACAACAAAAGTTAACTATTTAGAATGTACAAAACAATCTCTAAGTATTGTGTGTGTAACAGGAAAACTATGCTAAATAATATTCACTGGACAAATTTATTACCTTACAGACAGCCTCAAGAGTATGGTTAATACTATTTCTGGTCTCTCGCCAGCATGAAAATAAACTACTCTTTAAAGGAGTAAGAGAGAGTTATTTTACCAAAGAGAAACTTAAAACAAGTTACTTTAAATGTTACTATTTATTAGGTACCTACTATTTGCAGATAGAAAACTAAGCATTTTAGACACAGTAAATCATTTCAAAATGGAGGCAACCAGGCTTAGGAAGCTTATCTGACTTGCCAGATCTCCATGGACAGGATACAATAGCAGGTGTGGCAGACTTACCATCAAAAAATCTGAAACTACTTAATGAAAAGTAAGTAGTTTTTAGCCTACCACTATATAAAGGCCCAAATTGATGACAACATCAACCTAAGTTAATTAATTGACAAAGACTATACTCAAGTAAGTTAGTCATTTCAGTTTCTCTAATTTCTTTATCAACCTTTTATTATTAAATGAGCTCAATAATCATAAGATTTTCTTGTTAAATGTACTCCTTAGGTAAGTATTTACCTCATCCATTTCATTACTCTTCCTCTTCTGGGCCTTGGGAATCTTAACTGTCACTGGTATGGTACAACCAGGGTGTTTCACTGCCATTTTGTTTGGCTGCAAAGGTGTAAACTGAATCTCTAATTCAGGTTTTGGAAATCGAGTACTTTGTTCATTTTCTGTTGACACCTCACATGAGTCAAGAACTACAGATCCATCCTACAACAGAATTAAAAAGGGAAAAAAAATTTATTTGTAAAATATGAATTTATTAACCACAATGAATCCTCTCAAATGTCTATTCAAGATAATAAATCAGAAAAAAGAAAAAGTGTGCCAGGCCACAGCAAGGATAAAAAGATTGATTTATCCACATTCTCTAAGTTTTTGTGTGGTTGTTAAAATTGAAGTAGAGCTGGAAGTATAACTCAGAAATAGAGTGTGTGCTTAGTATGCACAAGGCTCTGGGTTCACACTCCAGCACAATGAAAAAAAAAATAGGAAAAACTTAGAGATCAGCATTTCCCAAATTTGTAAGGTCATAAGAATTAAGAGAATTTGTTCAAATAATTACTGGACTGTACTACAAACCAACTAAGTCAGAACCCACTAGGAAAGAGTCTAATATTTTTTACAAGCACCCCAGTAATGGTAGATTTAAAGGTGGATGCAAATTTTTTGCTACTTTTCCCATTGAATAAGGAGTCTTTCATTCTCCCCTTGAATCCAGGCTTGCTTTAATGATTTCCACGGCCAATAAGAAGTGATAGACATAATACCATGGCTCTCTAAGACTATCATAGGAGGCTCTGTAACTTCTATCTTGTCCTCTTGGAACACTAGCTTTCAGGACAATTCCCCTCCTCAAAATGACCCATCCCAAAATCTAGCCACTGTACTATGAGAAGCTCAGGCCATAGACAGGGGATACATATAAATCCCATGTAACTCTTAGAATCAACTAGTACTAGTCAAAAATGAATCCATCTAAACTTTCAGTCTACTTAGGTATGTTGATTTCATAAAAGCAGCAAAGAACACAAAAGAAAATGACAATATGATCCCCGCTAAACAACAAAATCATAATCATTATTAGTATCATATTATAATAGATACTAAGATATCAGAAACAAAAGATTTTAGGAAAATGTATACAAATTTATGGAGAAAGTAATCCTCCATTATATGTGATTGCTCTTGTAATAAATTAAACTTTGATTATGAATCAATTTAAAATTTTTTCATAAACTTTATGGTTTGCATTAGTCCCTAAAATCAATACTAATTATCTGAAACTCTACAAGAACTACTGAGGAAAGGTCAAGTGAAAAGGAATGGTTCATGTTATTTTCCCAGATTAAAATGCCTTTCTCTCCCATGTTTTGTTTAATAAGTTTCTCTTTTCCCGTTAAGATATGATTCTCTAATCCACTTCCACAGCCACCCAGGCAAAATACATTGCATCCTCCTCAGTGTTCCTTGCTTGCTAAGCAGATGCTTTTACCACTTAAGCTACTCCACAAGCTCCTAAATATTAAATTTTAAAAAGTGATCTTATCTTAAAAAATTTTAAGTGACACAGAATTTTTATGTATTTCATAATCCAAAGTTATTCACAAAATCCTAAAATGAATACAAATTAAGGAAACTTAACGCATACTATTAAAGACTGGTGACAAACATACTATATGGACACAATTTCAAAAATATACTATTTAATAGCACGCTTATTGAAGGAAACTCTCTGAGAGCAAATAATCATCCCTATTTTATCTTTTGTGGAATTTTCTATTTCTGACCATTAACTTTATTTATATTAAAACATCTATGGTTTTTAAGGAGATTAATATCATTTGGGGATCTAATTTGTAAAGAATTTCATCTATCCTCAAAAGGCTCTAGTTTTCCTTCACACATATAGAAGCACATATAGCAAAATTATGCAGCAAAGTATCTACAATTGATTACACTAACACCTACAAGTGCTATTTCAGGGCTAATGGCAGGGAAAAGGGAGCAAAAAGCAGACTGTTAGCAAATACCCACCTCCGCTACATTCCTGGAAATTTCAAAAATTGTTGGTTGAGATTCAGTTTCAACGCTGGCAGGATCTGTTAAACTAGTATGTGTAGGTTTGACATCCATGGGGTTTCTTTCCTAAAATAAGGAAATATTAAAGAAACAGGTTATTCTTACCCAAAAAAATATTTAATATAATTTAATATTTATGCAAGGTGTTGCATAAAGATTACAAAGATCAAGATCTGCATAGACTATACAATGGAAATTAAGACTTCTACCTTTCCTTTACCTTCAAAGACTCAGGAAAGGCTAGGCAACATAGGCTTTCCTGAGCCTGATCTAAGAAGAAATCTGAAAGATCGCTTCCTACTTCCAAAGTTTTTTGCATGCATTCTCTTGTTTTACTTTCACTGTAACTCACTAATTAGATTTGGCAAGAATCATCATTCTTACTTTCCAAATGAAGAAACATAGACCTAGCCCTGTTAAATTGCATGGCCAGACTTGTGCCAACATGCTTGGTTAGAGCAGCAATATATTTTTTTTAATTCCACTAGAGGCTGAACCCAGGGCCCTGAACATGCCAGGCAAGCACTCTGTAACTTAGCTATACCCCAGACCTAATTTAACAGATTTTTAAGTGCAGATCATTTATTAATAAAGATGAGCTTCAGATGCACCTTGCCTCCATTTACTGTGAAAGGTAATCCTCTCTTCATTTATAATTCCTAGCCCCAACAAAGTATTATGAAATTAACTGTTAGAATATCTTATGATGTCCTCCCATCAGTGTGTTTACTTTCAAAATAATTTATATCCTTATACACTAAACATAAGGGTGAGGCAAATTATTCAAGTGTAATCAAGAGTTTATGTTAAATCACATTTCTACATTTTAAAGGTAGATTAGGGATGAAATCATAAGTTATTGATTTCCTAATTATTCTACCTGGGAGGTATGAGCAAAATATAAAAGGTGCTGTGTTTCAGTTAGTGACAAATCAGTAACAATGATAAACTCTAAAAATTCAAAATCCATGAGAAATATCCGAATTTTTCAAACTCTTGATTCATCTCTGGTCTACTGAGCTAATTTAATTGATTGAGAGTTAGCCAAAAATTCTGAATAATTCCTATATTCAATGGAAAGGTGTAGAAAGAATAAGATTCTAATGACTATTTCAGAAACCTCTGACATGATCTTTTTTAATTGTTCAATTTCATTATCTTTCTGCTTGTTACTGGAGATCAGTGCTTTCAGCTGTATTTCTAAAGCTGCAACCAGTTGATCCCGTTCTTCTCTCCACTTCTGAAGGTCGTTATTTTTCTCTGCCAGCTGTGTTGTCAGTATTTCCTAATCAATAAAGAAAACATTAAGCTTAACTTTACAATATGACTCTAAGAACATTTAAAAGGTTTTATTATGCATAGTACTGTGAACATAATTGTAAACAAGATATAACAAGCAATATAGTCAAGTGCACACAAAATACTTTATCTATAAACCAAAATGCATAATACCATCATACTTATTAAATGTCTACATAGTATATTTATCCCTATCCCATTAAAAAAAAAATCAGGTTATTTGGTCTTTCAATAAATAATTATAGATACAGATTTTAAATTAATACCAGAATTTCTACCAACATATGGGAAACCATCAAATTACAGTAAAACAATGATAAACTAATAGCAACAAAAATATCAAAATGAAAACAACATCATTTACAATGAATTCAAAAATCATGAAATATTTCATGGTAAATTGAAGGAACATGAAACATAAACATGAAAAACTGTACAACAGTGCTGAGATTAAAGAACACCCAAATAAATAGAGAAACAACAGTGTTCAGAATTAAGGCAATTTCTTTTAAAATCCAGGCGTGTACGTGTGCATGCAGAAGTAGAGGAGTTGACCCTAAAAGTTACATGGAAATGCAAATGATCTAAAGTAGTCAAAATTACTTTGAAAATGAAGAACAAAGTGAAAGCAATCACTTATGTCATTTCAAGCATACTATAACATTCAAAATAATATGATATATAATAATGATATGATAATGATATGATAATTGTCTAAGAAGAGGCAGAAATCAATGAAACAGAAGAGAGGGTCCACAAATGTATGATCAATTGACATTCTACAAAAGGGTCCACAAAACTCAATGCCAGAAAGGACAGCTTTTAACAAATGGTGTTGTAGCTGAATACTCAAATAATAACAATAATTAACCCTAATCATATACTGCATACAAAAATAAGCCCTTGGACAACTGATTTATCACAAAACTGACAAAGCAGTGGGGAAGAAAAAGTCTTTTCAATAATTATTATTATCATGTTAATTGGTAATTCACCTAAACACAAGAGTCTGATCCCTATCTCACACCAACAAAAAAATCAATTCTAGGATCTAAGTATGAAAAGTAAAACCCAAGGTTTTCAAGAAATAATAAAAGAGCTGTAGGTGTGGTTCAAACATTACAGCACCTGCTTAGCAAACATGAAGCCCCAAGTTCAAACCCTGATAGCACCAAAAAAAAAAAAAAAAAAAAAAGTACAACATCATCATGTCCTTGGGGTTCAAAAGAAAAAGATTTGGTAAGTAACTCATAGTGAATTTCAGAACTTCTATTCATAGAAGAGCAATAAAAGTGAAAAGAACAGACACACAACCATTTAGCAATTCTAAGATACGTGTGCAACAGAAATATATACACATATGCACCACGAAAAATGTAAAAAAAGTTTATGATAATTTGCTCACACTCCTAACAGACAAAACCAGAAAACAATCCATATTAGCTTCAATATTAAAATGACTAAAATGGTGGCATATTCATATATTGAAATATTCTGCAATGAAATAAACTAACTCTGGCTACATGCAACATGGATGATACATGCAAACATAATACTTGAAGATGTCAGGCACAAACAAATGCATTCGTATATTTCCATTTTATAAAATTCAAAAATAGACAAAACTAAAGCATATCATTAAAAGACAGAATAGTTATTATTGGGAAAGAGGCAGAAGAGAGGGACTGTGGAGTGCAAACAATGTTCTATTTCTTGAAATGCATATTTGTTAAATGGTGGCGCTACAATAATTCACTGAACTGTTAGTTGTGTTTCTGTGTTATAAGTTGTGACTCAAAAAGCCTTAAAAATGAAAAGGGGGTTTGCCTGTTGGAATTGCTGTTAAACAGGCCACTAAAAAAAAGTAAACTCCCTCCCCCACCTTCCTGGTTTGGAACTGGAGTAACTGATCACAGTTTAGATTTAGCCTTCAGTTTAGATTTTACCTTTTCACTCATTAATGGCCAGAAAAGTTCAATGGGGTGTGGTATAAAAGAGCTAGAAGCTACCACCAAGATATCAGAATTCTGTTAAACCCATTACTTTCTTACTATATTTAATGGATACAGAATATCTTCCAAAGGTTTGTGTGTTGAAGGCTTGGTTCCCAGTTTGGCCCTGTTGGGAGGTTGTAGAACCTTAAAGTGGGAATCAGTGGGAGGTTTTTAGGTCATTCAATCCAATTCTTTGAACTGAAGGACACTGTAGGATCATGGCCTCCTCCTTTTCTTCACTTATCTGCCATGAGGTGAATGGTTTTGCTATTCTACATGCTCCCACTGTGATGTGCCACCACAGGCCCAAGGCAACAGGCCAAGTGATCAGACTGAAATCTCTACAACTATGAGTCAAAGTAACTTTTCTTCCTTTATAAGTTGATTAGCTCAGGTATTTATTATACAAACAAAAAGCTGACTAACAGTCCTAGAAATATCTCTAATGACAAGAAATTGGCATAAAAAGAGAAAAATATTGCCATCTCAGAGCTGTATTAATAGCAAGCATCAATCTCACAAAATTTGGCACATGACAAAAACAGAAAGAGTCAATACTGTACAGAAACATAGCAATTACATTACATGTAGATCCTGGACACCCTTCCCAGACAAAAAAAAATTAGTGGGGAAAATGAAGAAATTAGAACATTTACCTAACAGTAATATAAAGAATAGTAAGTTGTTGATTCTGATCATTGTACTATTATGTCAGATGCTAACATGAGGAAAAGTTGAGTGATGGGATATATAGGAATTCTGTACTAGTTAAATAAGATGTTTGCAAAACAACATGGTAGAAACCACTTTTTCGGAAATTTATTTATGGCAGAGCACTTAAGAGTACACCCTGAACCTTCAGAATACAAGGTAGCTACTTCAGCCAAGGACTTTCTCTAAGATATCATTTCTGCATTCTAAAAGACTACACGTAGTACACAGCTAGTGGAATCTGCCCATAGATATACCACTGAAGGCCTGGAGAATTACAGCTGCACTCTTAGCTTTCTTTTCCAGGTACTGGCAATAGTCCAGGGAAAAGGCCAATGAACTGCTCTGTGCTCATTTCCACTTCAGTCAAGGGTCAAAACATAAAACCTAAGAAAGCAACAAACTGTTCCTCAGTACTTTATACAATCAGAAGAAAAGTGACCTATAAAACACAGTATCTAGGATTATTTGGTAGAACAAAAATTAGTAAGTGAAGAGAAAAAGAGCATGATTTTTGGAGTAGAATACATACATGGACTAGAGTTTATTAAGTAAACTGGAAAGTTTTCACCAATAAAAAACTCATTTTCTTCTGCAATTAGCTAACTCAAGGAGGAGAATGTAACTCAAGTGGTAAGTGCGCTTGCCAAGCAGGAGCAAAGACCTGGATTAAAATTCTAGAAAAACTAACTAGAAAAAACTAACGCTCTCCAATATTCGATGTTAAGAGTAGCTTTAAAGAAGGGGAAAAAAAAGTAGGAAAACGTCCTTAACTTAAGAAAAATGAATATTACTGGTTTTATAGGAAACTTTAGCTATTAGTCAAATTCTGTCAAAAACAAAGGCCAACAGATGACAATACGATACTGCCAATTAAAACAAGAGAAACATAAACCTAGCCTTCAGACATAGATTTATATTTAGCCAATATAAAGGTGAACATCATTTTTACTTATAGTCATAGAAATTATTCAGGTGACTTTTTAAAAGTTGATAAAATAGGCTTATAAGGTAAAATACATACAAACATGTTAGAATCTACAGATATAATTGTTACATACCACTTCATTTTGTTGTTTTAAACAACGCTCCCTATCTTCAGCATATTTTTTCATGTCTTTGTTTCGTAGAGTCTCAGCTTCTTTTGCTTGAGCGATAAGCAACATTTTTTCTTCTGACCATTTCTTTCTATCAGCTTTATATTTCTCTTCAGATTCCTGAAAGTACAAATGGTACAAGTTACTACTGAATTTTTGAAAGAGCTAGTGACTCTATTTTCCTATCTGCCAGGAGAAAAGACCTAGTTTATGATGGTCACTTCTAATTCTATGATTCAAAAAATTTTAAAAATTGGGTATAAAGGTGCCATATCAAGAGTAATTTGTGAAAAGAACATTTATTAAGGGAACATTCAGAACAGATATGTATGTAAATATATGGACAGAGAACACAGATCAGTAATTTTCAAAGTGGGTCCTACAGATCCTTTGGCTTCACAGTCATCTAATTTTATATACTCAAAATCAAGAAAAATACCATTGGAAACAAGAACAGTACCACTTTTAAAAAGTATAAAACCACTGTACTAGATGAACTATGCAGTCCATTCCAGGATAACAAAGTTTATAATTGTAGATGTTATTATACTATAGAAAAAAATGCAAAAAATGAACATTCTCAATATGGTTGATATATTTTTTCATAGTAAATGTACAACAGTTATAGCTATTTTTGGATTTTCACAATGGAAAGGATAAATTCTAGAATATATAATGTATAATACATAATGATAATTACCATTACAAAGGAAAGTATATTGTATTTACTTTCAGTGGCTACTTATATATACCTGAGTTTAAGAAAATAATTTAGATGCAGCCAACTTTCAAAACCATAATTATGTTTCCTACAACCCCAACTCTACACATCTGAGTGCAATTTCTAATAAAAATGTACAAAATTTTAACTAGAATTTGATAAACACCATGGGAAAAAATATGCTTCCATGTTGTATTCTATACATTGCACATCCAAGCTGAACAAGTATATATACAAAATACAGTATCCTCTGGTATATTACAGTTTTATATGTAATGCAGAGTTCAGATATACAACTCTACTCCAATTTAATAACTGAGCTTTGAAAAAATACTAATCAAAATAATTCACCTAAGGGTCTTCTCAGTAGCAGTAGTTGCTGAGTAGAAAATTTAAGAAGTAAAGAGTGCAAAGACATTAGAAGTGTTGATTTAAAACTTAAATATACAAAATGAAGACCTAACCACTGTATTTTCATTGGCATATAATATTTTGTAGCTTGGGAACTTTTTCCCATGTATACTGGATCTATATATTAATACTTCCTATGGATTACTTCACCAATATCTAAATTAGTTACATACTATACAATACTGAATTCTCTTATTACAAATGTAGTGAAGATGTAGACAGACATATATATAGAGATAAATATATAGATAAAAATCATACCTGTAACTCATCTTGAAGCTTACTGAGTTTTTTACTCAGTATATCTGTGTTATACTCAAATTCTTTATTTGACCTCTGAATATTTTTGGCTTCTAGATCTTTGCATTTTTCCTTCCATTTTTCCAATTCTGGTTTGAAGACAAAAAAATTATTCTTAAAAACACATACAAAAGTTATGTGCTATTCACAATAGCCAAGTTATGGAAACAGTCAAGATGCCCCACTACCAATGAAACGATTAAGAAAACGTGGTATTTATACACAATGGAATTTTACTCAGCCACAAAGAAGAATGAAAATTTGTCATTCACAAGTAAATGGATGGAACTGGAGAACATCATCTTAAGCAAAGTTAGCCAGGCTCAAAAGGCCAAAAATTGTATGTTCTCTCTCATATGCAGATTATAGACCTAAAACAACTGCAGTAATATTATTGCACATGGTCACATACTAAGGGGAGAATGTGTACAGGAGAAACAGGGAAAGGGAAGGAAACCTAAAACTTCAAAGTGTTTGACGTGCCCACAGTAGAGGAGCTAATAAAGTAATCTTAAACCGACAGAGGCCACTATGGGAAGGTGACCAGGAAGTAGTGAAGAGGTCTGGTAGAGATGAACCAATTCGGGTTGCAATACACATGTGCATGGAAACAATGCTAGGAGTCTCTCTATACAGCTATCTTTATCTCAAACTAGCAAAAACACTATGTCTTTCTTATTATCTCTTATGTTTTCTCTTCAACAAAATTGGAGAAGAGGGCAGAACTAGTTCTGCCTGGAAGTGAGGGGGGTGAAGGGTGAGGGGGGAGAGATGGCCCAAACAATGCATACACATATGAATAAATGTACAACAATTTAAAAAAATAAAATAAAAAAAAATTATGTGATGTAGGTATATATATGACAGGAGATCTAGACAAAAATGAGCAGAACCCAAAGGAATAGAGACCAAGATGAAAGTGAGGCTATTCTAACAGCTGAACTTTCACAAGTTCTTACCAAATTCTTAGTGAAGAGAACCTCCCAGGAATCCAATGACTAGTGTTTAGGATATGTAGACTACATCCATCTCAACCTTAACTATACAAATACACTTCACACAATTCTCAAAAAAAAATATTTTTAAAGGTATACCATGTCATGAAAGTGGCCAGGAAAGCACATGTAGTTTTAGGGTTTACTAACTGCTCTTATCATCTGATCTTCATTAACAATAATTTGCAATCATACATATAGCATTGTCATCATAAAGCACGTCATGGATAAGGACAAATACGTGAGTCAGCACAAGTATCCTGACAAAGTTCTATATAAAAATTATACAAGCAATTTCTAATTCTAAATTTCTCAGGACTTGAGGTATAGTTCAATGATAGAATTTTTGCATGGCATGTGTGAGGACCTGGGTTCAATTCCTAGCACCACAAAATAAAAGTAAATAATAAATTTCTTGCCCTTTCTACAAGAATATGAATAGCTTAATTACTAGCAAGTCAGTTTGAGAATTTTCCACATACTCTAGAAAACCCTGATGGTGTTCTGAAGACAATGAAATCACAACATTTATTGAAATAAACACAGAAAATAATATTAAAAGTTTGACAGATGTCCAAACTCAGTTAAAAACCTAATTTTTATGTCTGGGAACATTCAGAATTACCTGCAATTTTAAAATCCTAAGTTATTATAGTGTCTTTACTCTTCTTTACTATAAACAATTTTACTTAGAGAAAACAATTTTCATCTCAGTAGAAAATGACAAGTGGAAAGACATTCAAAATATTTCTTGAATAAAAGAAAAAATCTAGGAAAATAAGGAAAAACAAAAGACTATGTTAAGTATATAAACAATCTCATTTTACCTGTGGCCAGCCATTCAGCTTCCTCTAATTTAGCCTCAAGCACTTGATCTTGTTCTACTTGAGTTTGTTCTTGTTCTTCCAGTGTCATTCGCATGTCTTTAATCATTTTATCTTTAACATTTAGGTCTAAATAATTGAAGAAAGCATTTTAGAAATTAGCAGCATCTGGATCCATCTTTTCTTCTAATAAATATATATCTAATAAAATATGCTTTTATAAACTACAATACAAGCTCCATAGTCAGAAACTTTGTTTTGTTCAACTGCTATACCTTTAATACCTAGACACATCTGTCATATATGACAAAAAATACATATTTGATGTACAGATCAATGCGCCAGTGAGTGTGAAAAGGATTGGAGGAAGGATGGAAAAGGAATCTTCTCAGATAAAATTAATAATTTTCAATATTATCAACCTATTACTACTAACAAACACAAATCATGAGGTTTAGTAAAAGTGTTATTTGGCAAGATAACTTTTAGTGTTAATATTTGTGAACCAAAAACTAAAATCTTTACCCTTTAAAAGTGAAAAAGGTTCAATCCTAATTTTACCTATTTTTATTTTCAAAATCCCAAGTCCTTTTTCCAGAAAAATACTCAAAATCAAGTATTTCTAATGTTTTTGAAGTGAGCTCCTCAGTAATGACAGTGCTACTAGCCTTACCAAAATTCTTTCAAGCTTTTTAAAAATGACTACAGTAATGACTTGTAAGCAATTTCGTTTTAACCCTGCAAGAACCATGAACTCTTAAGAGGAGGAAAATAAAGACAAAAAAAAGATGACTTCCTCAGGAATGCTGCCAAAGTAGCTAACACTCATGCTGAGAGGTAACTAGCACAGAATGCATCATAAAAGCTGGTGCAAGACAGTTTCAAAACAAGGGTGAGCAACATGTTACCTTTATATTTAGAAAAAATATGCTAACACAAAATACATACTACTTAAATGAAAACAGGGAAAAATGAACATCAAAAATAACATGATGAAAGCAAAGCAAAGTAGTGTCAACAACAAAAAGATCCAAAAGATTTGAAAATATATATTACAAGTGACTTAGAAACATGTTTTAAGAACATGGAAAAGATGGGAAGACAGATTGAAGCAGTTAAAGTGGACCAATGCCACACTTCTACCTACTTGGGAGACAGGAAAAATTAAAATATGATATATGCTAAAAATCATAAGGCATCCTGGCCCAAGGGACTTCTTCAGAATACCTAAGATCTGTTCACATTTAGCACTGAGTCAAAGGATCTAAATTAAAAGGGAATCATAATCATATTAGGGTAACAGATATTAAGGATAAAGGCCTAGGAAAAGCAAAAGAAAAGAACCATGTGCAGACATACTTTCACATTCAAGTTTTTTGTTACTCCACAATGCACAAGTCATGTAAATAAGTTGTCTTAACCCTTCTCTTTTGTTGGTCAAATACAAGTAGCATAGATAAGTGAAGAAAGCTTGAGACAAAGAATGAACTCAACCTTGGTTTAAAACCTAGCTCTCAATCATACAACTAAGAAATTAAGGGATGAGTAATAGGGAAGACAGAAATCTACATAATTTGAACAAGTATGAATATATCATCTGTAAAAATAATTTAATAGTATTTGATTAACAAATCAAATACAATTTGATAAAGAAAAGCATAGTTCAGCACCTGGGATGTGAATATAAAATATTAGAGATACTTAAAAAAACTTCTGAGGATCTAAGCATGTGGTAGAATGGTAGAGTGCTTGCCTAGCATTTGCCAGGACCTGGGTTTGATCCCCAGCACCACATAAGAACAAAAAAGCCAAACAAATAAAAACAAACCTTTAATTTTAAAGATATCTTAACATAAAGCATAATCTTCAAACAATTTTGTCTAGAAATCTATTCTAGTCATTATGCTCTACATAACTTTGACATTTTCACAAAATACTGGCCACTACTAAGAAAAGAAAATCACTTTGAATATTCTATTTCTTTCTAAGAAAAAGCTTTAAATTGTCTTTTGATGAAGCTACATCATATGTTGCCTCAACTTCAAATTCAAATTTTTCAAAGGAAAATATCAATTGTTATTGCAACTATTTTGCACTCATTTTAGTACTAAAAGTAATTTGTTCCAGACCTTTGCACACTCTCTCATACTGTTGTATGGCTTCTTCCATTTTCTGATTACTTAACTGCTCCTACAAAATTAAAGAACATGAGTTAAATCCAAATGTAATTTAAATACATAATATTTAAAAATGGGTCTTGAAAACACACTAGACATTAAATTCATTAATTTTTTATTGATGTCTAGCACATACAGCATTTTTTTGCTTTTTGTGTAATTTTTAGAAAAAGAATCTGTTATAAGACCTTTTAATTTTTTTGTTAACTTGGAAACAATTTTAGATATATAGAAGATTTGCAAAATTAGCAGAGAACCCTTCCTGTATAACTTAATTCAGCTTTCACTGTTAGGCTACCTGATACACTTATCAGAAATTAAGAAATTAACCAGGCACCAAGGGCTCACACCTGAAATCCTAGCTTCTTGGAGGCTGAGATCGGGAGAATCACATCTGAAGACCATTCCCAGTAAACAGTTGAAGAGACTGCATCTCCAAAATAACCAGAGTAAAATGGACTGGAAGTGTGGCTCAAGGAGTAGAGGACATGCTTTGCAAGCATGAAGTCCAGTTCGAACCCCAGTTACACCCGCCCCCCCCCCCAAAAAAAGGAGAAATTAACATTGGTATGTTGGTGTGCTATTAATTAAACTACAGACTTCACCACAACTCACCAGTTTTTCCACTGCTGATTTTCTATTCTAGGATCTCACCCAGGATATAACAATACATATACATATAATTATCATGTCTCTTTAGTCTCCTCCAATCTGGGATAGTTCCTCAGGCTTTCTCTTTAATGACCTTGACACTTCATACTCGTCAGGTACTCAACCTGGGTTTGTCTGATGTTTTCCATGAATAAAATGAGGTTGTAAGTATTAAGGAAGACTATCAGGTGGAATGTACCCTCTAATCACATCAAGTCAGGAAGTACGTGGCATGAACATGACATACTACTGGGATGTTACTCTTGAACGCTTGGTTTAGATGGTGCCAGCAAGGTTTCTCCACTATATAGTGACTAATTTTTTCTTTACCACATTTTACTCATTAGAAGCAAGTCACCATGAACTCATTTAATTTTGAGCAGTTTATTCTTCAATTTTAGAAAAGCCCAAATTTGGACTGAAGGTATAATTCAATGGTAGAGTACATACTTAGCATTTGTAAAATCTTGGGTTTGATCCCCAGCATCATTAAAAAAAAAAAAAGCTAAAACAGAATTTGTTATTAAAAACTAATATACATTTCATTAGAGAATCAAATACATAAATAAGAGTGGACTTAGCCTATCATTAAAAATAAAACTGCTACCTTGAGCTGTTGAATGGTTCGTTGTTTCATATCTATTTCCTGAGAATATTGGTTTTTCTTTTTCTCCAGGTCACTAATCTTAATCCTTAGTAATTTCTCCTCATCACGCATTAAAGATACCTACAAAGAAATGTTTATGTGTGAGCACCTGTGTGAAGCCCTGAGTTCCTATCCCAGTTTCAACAAAAAAAGAAAAAAATTTTTATAAAGCAATTGGAACATTTTTCAAACTGCTCTTTGTTGTTTAAAATTTATGGTCACTTGTTCAAAGATTCATGTCCTTTATAGCCTATTAGAAAAATTAAAGATACTGTTAAGTAAAACAAAGTGTTTAAAGATGTTTTCTTTTTTTGGTGGTATTGGGGTTTGAACTCAGGACTTGGTGCTTGCTAGACAGGCACTCTATTGCTTGAGCCACACCCCCAAGCCCAGATTATTTTCATTTTGTATAGTAAGAAAAGGAAAAAAATGATAGAGAAGGAAGGAAAAGTACACAGAAAGAAAACAACTGATAACATTTGATTCCTTGAGGGGAACTTGATGGTTGGGAGGAGTGGTAAGAATTTTTTTCTCTCATTAAATATAACTTTGTATATTTTGAATTTGAATTGTTACTGAATTTCCTATTTTTAAATAATAAAACACTGTAAACATAAACATTTAGCAAAAACATTTATGTGCCTACTCACATAAGTAATATCCATAAACAAAAACTACTCCCTATTTTTTTTTTGAAGGATCTAAATTTAGCAGTAATTTAAGAAAAAAAAAAAAAAAGATTTTAACCCTATACGTGGCACATATTTTTCTTAATATTGACCTCCTCAGTCTGTTTCAGCTGGCTAAGATTCTTTTGTGAAATAACCGTTCTTACCATTTCAAGAAAAAAATTTGAACTTGATAAATGTTTAATCCCACAATTAGTGTCTAAACTTCATGATAAGGGAAATGATCTTCATCATATTAAATTGGTCACACAACTTTTAAATAACTTGCCTGTTTCTGTACTTGCTCAATCTGCTTTTTGGCATCAATCAGTTTCTCTTTCAGTTCAGCATAATCTTCTTCCTTCCTCTGAAGATCTGCTTTGAGATTCTGAGTAAGGACAGAACTTGCAGAGAGTTCCTCTTTCAATCTAAAAAACACAAACCGCTTTTCTAATGATAACCATTAACCGCTTAGGATCAGTGTATGAACTCCTAACACCCTTTATAAAATTGTATCTTTTCACAAATGTGGAATATACAAACTATGAATAAGTGTTTCAAAGAGTATTTCACATGACAGTTTTTATAGGCACGTACTTGTATGCAACTTTAACTTCTACAGGTTTACATGAACAAGTTTAAATTCTTCACTTCCACATACTCCACCTTATCAGATTATGTCTACCTGTTTAAAAAATGCTTAGAGAAATTAATGTTTTGCATGTGTTAAAATAATGTAAATAAGGTTTAGCTTACTTTTCTGTTTCTTGTCTGTTGTTTTCTTTTTCTTCTTCCCTTAATTGAAGTGAATGCTTCATTTCTTGCAAATTATTTGTTAATTGTGTGATTTCTTTTTTCAACTTGACTTCCTTTTCACTTAAATCTTCAGTGTTTTTGATCGAATCTTGAAGATTTGCTTGAAATTTCTCCAGATTTCCTTCTAGTTTTAAGATGATAGATTCCTTTTCCAAAACATCTTGCTCTAACTTAGCTAAATGCCTACATTCATATTTCTGAGTCTCTAAGATTGATTCAAGCTCTTTTATTTTCTCCTTAGAGCAAGTAACATCTTGTGTAAGTTCTGAAAGTGCTCTCTTTCCATCAATTACAAGCTGTACTTGAACATCAAGACTAACCTTTTTTTCTTGCAACTCTTCTTTCAACTGTTGTATAAGACTTTCTTTTTCTTGTAGTAGCTCATCTTTAATCTTATCTTCACTCTCCTTCAGTTTCAGTGCATTGTTTTCATTCTTATAGCCTTTTACTTCTGCTTGTAATTTTTCAACTTCTTGTTCTAGTTCCTGGATCTGATGACTTTTTTTGGAGGAGACCTTCACAATTTCCCTACATTCTTCCCAAATAGCTTCAATACTAGAGTGAAAAGAACTTTCCCTACTGAGTTCTTGAATATGGCATTCTTTAACCTGCTTACTCAGCAAAAAATCATTGCCCGAAAGGTCTAACTGTGCATGTGGCAAATTATTCTTCTGAGAACCATTTGACAGATCCCAGAGATTAAGCAAGTCTATGCTTGATATCTGAGAAACTGAATCAAGGGAACGTAGCTCATCTATTTTTGTTTGCATTAATTTTATTTGTGAAACATTATTTGTAGTAATTCTTGTAGCAGTTTCTATCTCCTTTGACAATTTCATGATCTTGTCCTCCTGTTCTTGATTTATACCTTTCTGCACATGTAATTCAGCAACTGCATTTTCATAATTTGACTGAATCTGCTGCATTTCTGTACCTAAAATTAAACTCTTTTTTTCAGAAAATGTAAGTTCCTGTTGCAAACTAACAATTTGTTTACTTAATTCTTCTTTTTCCTCTTTTTCATTTTTAAGTTCATTCTCAGCAGCGACTAAACGTATTTTCAGCTTTTCATGATTTTCTTGTAAAACTCTATTGTCATCCAAATGTTTTGAAATGGTCTGTTGCATTTCTTCATTTTTCTTTTGTTCTTCAGTGATAAATGAACTAACAAGTATAGGTCCTTTAAAAATAAGAAAATTGTTATTACTCTCAAAAGCTTTAAAAAGTTACCGTGTAAGGCAATCCTCAAACATATGAAAGTTTTAATAAAAAATTCAACTAAGAAAGAGAGAAAAAGAAAAAATAGGTTACAAAACATAGGTGGCCTAAATCCATTGACGTACAAATTATAGTTCCAAAGTGAATACACAAAGGTATAGCAAAATGTTGGTAGCTGCCTCTGAGTAGTACCAGCTACTTCCACTTACCTTTGTAACTTTCACTGTTACCTAAATTTTATATGACAAACCTTTTATATCATTATAATATGAGGCCAGAGAGGAGGGGACCATAATAAGACACTCTAGGCATCCATAACCCTAAAGAACAGTTTTAAAGTTTAATCACATCCTAGATTCTATTACGTTAGTGACATGCAAATTGAGTACCTTTAATTTTCATAGCTAAAATTAAGGGAGAAATGGCTGAAATTCTCAGAAGTCATACAATAACATTACCCTTTACTTGCTCATCAATAAATTGCTTAATCCTAAATTTCTGTAAATGCAAAAATGAAAATATTACTATTATATAAATATAATGTATATATATATTAAAATATTATCACCTATGTCAGAGTTGTTGTGAAGATCAAGGTAATAAATAAGCTTAGCCCACTGTGCTTTTGATAGACAGGTATTACGAAACCTGAAAATCTGTATAGCAGGATTCAGTTAATTAAAAATGTAAGTTTGTTATCAGGCTCAATACCTACATTCCTAGAATAAGGATATCTGTTGTTCTTTACTTACTCGCTTAACATTCATTTTGATAAATGGACTCACAACTGCTTAGTATAAATTATATTCCTCTAAATTTTTCTCACAGATACTATGATTAAATCTTGAAAGTTAATTTTTAATCATCTAGATGAATGAATTTATACCTATATATCTTCTTATGTTTTCATATAATTTTCATTACAATAAGGGTCAGATGAATGTGCTGGCAAGCATTTCACTCGTTACTTTTTAATTTTTCCTACTGTTCAACTAATGATTTGATGTTTACATATGAACTTACTTTACAACACTGCTCTGATACAATCCATTCCATATGTCTTTTTGACCTTCATTAGCTCCCTCACTGACTACTGTAGGATTCAACTATATTTTTATTTGTTATCCTCATTAAGTACCTAAGACTCAAATTCTTCAGGCTTAAAAGTACCAAATATAGCATGAAGTAAGAGAAGTGCTTATCCACAGGAGAAAAGACACTAAGTAAGGCTTGGCTTGAAATCTTTCTTACAAAGAAATCTTAGGGGCAGTGGTAATCCTAGTTATTCAGGAAGAGATTAACAAGATAGAGCTTTGAGGACGATCTGGGCAAAAATTCTGAAGAACCCATCTCAACCAAAAAAGCTGGGTGCTCCTGTCATTCCACCTATGTAGGAAGGGTAAGTAGGAGGATTGCAGTCCAGGCCGAGCTGGGCAGAAATACCAGACCTTCTTTCAGAAATAAAGAAAAGTGCTGGGGGCCTGGCTCAAGTGGTAGAGTGGCTGCCTAGAAAGCAGGAAGCCCAGAGTTCAAACACTAGTACTGCGCACTGCCCCTCCCTCCACCAAAAAAAACCCTTATACTTTCAATTGGTTTGGCTATCTACTCAAGGAATAGAGTATATTTTTCATCTTTTCTTTTTATTGAGCCCCTCTATAATATTCTGTGCATCTCAGCTCTTTAAATTTTACTTGTCTCATCTACTAGATTCCAAATTCTCTGATGGCAGATTCCCCACTGTGTCTTATTCATCTTAAAACAATAACCTTAAATGAAACTACATTTAAATATGTTTAAAACTTAGCTGCAACAATATGGTCTCCTTTTCTATCTGTAAGACATATTGCTCTACTAGAAAGCAAACTTAATCTTTTAATTGCATTTTTCAATTAGTAACCTATTCTGGTTCTACATATATGCAAAAATTTGTAAACTGACATACTAACTTGGTTATTATTAACTTGGTTACTTTGTCATAACTATAATTAAATATGTAAGGTACTGTTTGTAAACACAACAGTGATTCTCTAGTTTTATCGGGCAGGATTACCCAAGGAGCTTATTAAATGCAGATTCCTGATACAAAATTACCAAAAGACACTGACTTGGTAAGTCTGGGGTATATTTTACATATAAAAATGAGAAATGGTGGAACTGATGGAGTGGCTCAAGTGGTAGAGCGCCTGCCTAGCAAGTGTGAAGCCCTGAGTTCAAACCCCAGTACCACCAAAGCAAAAACAAAAAGCAAAAAACAAAAGAGAGAGAGAGAGAGAGAGAGAGAGAGAGAGACAGAGAAATGGCGCTCTAGGCATTATTTGTGAAATTTTCTGGAAGAAGTTATAAATTACCTCTAGGATTAGATCCTGCATTTGGGATCCAAAATTTGTTTAACAAAGCACTTGGCTGGCAATCCTGTTACATACATGTCATTGTTCCCTAAGAGCCAAATGTCTGTAGTTATGAGACTCAAACTCTGAAATTTTAGCCTGTCGTTGCCTGGCTCTTGTGAAGCTAGTAGCCCCACTGATGCATATATAATGAGTATATTCAATGAAGGTAAGGCGGCAACATTTCTGAGATCATAAAAAGTTTTTTAAATTGAAATCTGCCATACCACCTACAAAAATAAGTTTCTTCCTATACAGAAATCACAGTTGGAGCTGTGAGCAAAACTTTTTTAAAAAGCATAAACATTTATGAATGGTCTTTCAGATGGAGGGGGAAAAAAGGGATTATTTGTTCTAAGGATTTCTTTTTCAATCTATGACCCCTTTTGATAAATTAAAGTCCCTTAAAACCGTCTCAAAATGCTAATTTGTCCCCAATGAGAGTATGCATCTGACCAAGAACTAATAAAGAAATGTGGGATTCTCACCTCTCTATCATACCAAAGAGTTCATCCAGTTTCACTTTTGGTAGTGTGTATGCAAAAAAAAATAAGCTTTCTTTTTTAACTATTTATTTTTCAAATATATTCCATGTTCGTTCTTCACCCAGTTGTCCAGATGTTTTTAGACAGCTATAATCATATAATCCCAGTATGTGATTTTAAGATCTCATTCCTTTAATATAGACCCATTTTAAAAGCTCACAGGACACAGGTATACCATCTACAATTTATACTGCCTCTCCAGCCTCAAAGAAGCGGGGAAATTGGGAATTATACTGATGTATAGCCTCATTTTCATTTTTGATTTTGTTTGCCTTTTGCTTTTGATACAGGATGTTGCAATGTAGCTCAGAACTGGATTCAAACTCTTTTCCTCCTGGATCAGCCTTCCAGATGATAGGATTACAAACATGCACCATCACAACAGTCTGCCAAGTCACACTTTTCTTAAAAGCTGGTAAATTCATTTTTGAAGCTTTATCATGTTTGTAATCTACATTTTCCCAGTTACTTCTTGAAGACTGTATATTCTAAAGATTCTAGCTACTCTGTAATCTTAATGATCTTGCCGCCTTTATTCTTACCACAAACTTGCTCATTTATTCTTAAGGATTTTTATATGCATATTATTGATTATTTTTAGATTAAATTCTAGCATCTTAAATCCATTTTTGGCATATTTTTTGTCAGTAATATTTAACTCAAATTCTAACTGTCAAGTATACTTTTATAAGTAAAGAATGCAGAGGAAAAACACCAATGCAGAGAGATTTTGGCAGAAAAAGATATTGTATTTATGAAAGTGGCTTTCAATTATTACAAGCACACAATAAAAAAATTATAGGTAAGCCAAAGAAAGTGATAGGAGCATATCTAAAGTATCTATTTGGCCAGCCACCAGCAGCTCATGTCTATAATCCTAGCTACTTAGGACAATCATGGCTTAAAGTCAGGCTTGACAGGAAGTTAGTGAGATCCCCATCTCAACCATTAGTGGAGTGCCATAGTGTGTACCTGTCACCCCAGGAGAAGCTAAAATTAAGAGGATCAAGGTCCAGGCTGGCCTGGGCCAAAAATGAGGCCATATATCAAAATTAATCAGAACAGAAAGGACTGCGGACGTGGCTCAAGCAGTAGACTACTTGCCTAAGCTAGTGTGAAGCCCTGTGTTCAAACGCCAATATCACCAAAAAATAAAAGGTAACTGTTTAAATAAAAGACAGCATTAATTATATCCATCCTACAGAGAATTTGTAACATGTTAATATAAAACCTGCAACATTTAGGTTTTTTTCCTACTCAAGTAAATTTTCTCCTATTTACAACTCTTCTACTAGGAACCAACTTTCTTAAAAAGCTTCCTACTGGCGACTGAAATAATATTACCTGTCTTTGCCGGTGGTTCATCTTGTTGAAGTTCATTTTCATTTAATCTTTTTCTTTCTGAATAAGTTTTAGTTTTACTGTTCTTAGGCATTTCCACTGCTTCATTACAAATTGATTTACTGTTGATTAAAGATGTACCAACTTTGTCCTAAAGCAAAATAATTAAAATTCACAGAAAGTTAAAATAAATATATAAAATACACATTTTGAAAATTTCATTTTCAAATTTGTTGAAAAATTTGCTAAGTTATTTCTTAAATTTTACCCTAAAATAACTGAGGGCTCTGCAAATGAGTATTTAGGGATAACTGTAAAATTCTAAGATCCTCAGTACTAAAATCACATTCAAAATGCACTTTGAGGTGGTGGAGTGGCTCAAATAGTAGAGTGCTTGCCTAGCAAGCAGAAAGCCTGGAGTTCAAATCCCAGTACTGTCAAACAAACAAAAAATGATAGCAACAAAACGCACTTTGAGCTGGGCATGATGGCTCACACCTGTAGTCACAACTACTCAGGAGACTGAGGTGAGAGGATCACTTGAACACACATGCCCACAGCAAGCAAACAAAGAACAAAAATATGCTTTGAAAAGAAAAACAGGAAAGCACTGATTAAACTGATTCTTACACTTTTACTTAAAACCTAAAGTTTCCACTACAGAAAGTCAACATTAATTTTGTAATCAAAACTTCTAAAAGAGAATACTGTTTTACACTTTAAGAACTCCCATAAAAGTTTTAAGCTAAGCTTTTAGCCAATGTATATTCGAAGACAGGCAATCCACAAACAGGCTTAAGGCTGAGCTTCTAGATCAGTGATACATACAATGTGGACTTATCCAGAAAGTAGAGGGTGAATCTCAGCAATTAAGTGGAAGTCTATAAAGTAATCAAGGTATAATAAATAAATAAATAAATTAAATTAATAATAAATAAATCTGTGTTCCAGATTGACTGTCAAGATACAAAGAAACTTGAAGAATTATTTTTTACATAATATCACTCTTGACTCTTCTAGTAACAGGAAAAAAATACTAAAGCACCTTTTAACAAAGATATTTGGCTACTATGTTATTACCAGATAGCTTACCATTTCTATATCAAAAAATAATTTAAAGGCTGGAGTGGCTCAAGTGGTAACGCATCTCCCTAGCAAGCACTACACCCTAAGTTCAAAACCCAGTACCACCAAATAAAAACAACAAATAAATAGGAGTTTATAATAAAAGCCAAATCATTTCTTTTTTAAAAAGGGTTAAAAAACAAGCTGATCATCCTAGCCTGGACCAAACGAATATGAAACTACATAAGTTTATACTTAAGAAAGGCTAAAAACCATTAAAGGCCTTACCTATCACAGTATATAATGTAAATTTTTAATGACTATCCATATAATGAAAATTTTAAGGAATATCTTTGTTATTAAAGTATATGAACAATTAAAAAAATGCTTAAAGTAAAACCAAGATTTTAAGGAATGAAAAAACTAATTCTACTGAATATCACATTATAGTTCCCCAAATCATTATGACCTGCTGTTATCTAAATGCATTCAAGATTCTTTCTCCTCTGAGTTTCCCTTCCAACTAGCTGAGGCTTAAACTTTCAAAGAATATGTATTATTCTCCCTCTTATGTGCAAAGCACATTAGCACAGTTTGTTAGATTTTAGTTTCAAAGAGGTCAAATGCCCTCTTCTAACTTCTCAAAAATTCAGATTTGCACAATGATAAACTGCACTGAATGCTAGGATAAGCAATTCAATATTCTTAAGTAAATTAGTTTTGAGTGCATATGCTATTTTACTATTTTAACCCTTTTATCTAATTTGTAACAGTTATTTTATAAGGCAAAGTTAAATTCTTACACTGCCTTTAAAAGTGTTTTCCATTTAAGAATTGGGTTTCTAAAATTTGCTGAAGCTGTCCTCTATTTGATAAATTCTATCTACCAACTCTTGAATTACTTGATTCTGTGCAATTATTTTCTTGGAAAGAAAATAAGAATGTACAGTAAATATATTTTGGGATGAATAGAATGCAAGCTTGAAACAGTTTTAGAATTCCTTAAAATTTTAAGATTAAATAAAAAGACTGCATAGTATGATCTTATTTTTGCTTAGATATGTCAACTTAGGTAAGTCATTTAACATTTCTATGAAAATCACAACAGATCTACATAATGAAATTATTCTGAGACTTAAATGAGTTTGTATATACATATATATAGACACACACACATATATGCATATACACACACACACATACATATATGTGTATAAATGTATATAAAACACTTAGAAGACTGCCTGGAAAACACTAAACATTCTATAAATATATATATAAAGAAAAATTCTAAAAAGGCTACCAACCAACTTGTTAGTTTTCATCTTCTTTAATTTAGGAGGAAGATTATGGGGACTTTGCTTTCTATTTTATATAGTTTAATATAATTTCATTTGTATAACTAATACTAACTTTCATGACTGGGGGGAAGAAAAGAGGAATAATCTAACAGTAACTGTAATGTCTGCTAAGCACATTATTTTGTCTACTTCTTCAAATATTAGCTGTATAGAGATCTAAACTCATTTCACCTTCACATATACCTGTAATTTCATTTCTAGGCCTGAAAATGTTAAATCCATCTATAACCACTTAGGCAGATTATTTGATCTGAAGTCACCAAGGTTCTGGAGATCCTCCAGAAATAACCTTTGTTCACATCTTGTACACTGCTCAAGTCATATGCCAAATCTAAAAGCTCTCAATAATTTGAGATAAACATTATTTAAATACATCTAATCAATACCATGCACCTAGTAAAAGAATGAGATACATCTGTTATATGCTGATACAGACTTCCAAGATTATCTATTAAGAGAAAAAAGCAAAACACAGAACTATAATCCTATCTCTGTAGGCTTTTTTGTTGTTGTTGTTAAATGTGTGTATGTGTTTTCTGTATTATACATAAATCTCCTGGAATATCAGAAGAAACTTTCCACAGGCCATCTCTGCAAAGAAGTATGAAGGTGAAGACACTTTAGTTTATTACTTTTTAAAAATTATATTTAAAATTTAAAAGTACACAGTCATAATTTATGTCTTTTCATTTACTATTCAGGTCTGTATCAAGATAAAATAAAACTTGTATTTACCTTATTAAATTCCTTGTGTTCTTGAACCATTGAATCAAATTCTGCAAATAAAAAGAAATAAAGGTAATTCAAGAAAATAGAATACTGAACAGCTATAAAACATAAGCTGGCCAGATCCTGGTGGCTCATGCCTGCAATCCTAGCTACTCAGGAGGCAGAGATCAGGAGGATCAAGGTTAGAAGCCAGCCTGGGCAAATAGTTTGGGAGACCCTATCTCGAAAAAAATCTACCATGAAAAAGGGCTAGCATAGTGGCTCAAGGTACAGACCCTGAGTTAAAACCCCAGTACCCCACCCCACCCCCCCGAAAAAAAAAAAAAGCTGACATAATGTGTTACATTCAAGAAAAAAGGATTTTGACAGCACTTAGAGGGTTTAACACTCATCTGTAAATTCAACACAAGAGGGTAAAGTTTCAGAAAAGCCACATTCAAAACTTCAGTGCCTTCTTGGTTCACTTCATAATGCAGAGGCACCAGTGACTTGATATTTTGTAACCTATCTCCTTTCACAGGGAAAAGAGCATAGTATTTCACCTCTCATCAAACCCAGACTTCAAAATCATATGTATATGTACTCACAATCTCTAAGATTTAAAATGAAACATCTAGCAGACTATTTTAAACCAGTCCACAGATACTATCCCAAACTTGTAAGCTCACAGTAGACTCTTGTAAACGATGAGAGTTCATTAAAAAAAAAAGAACAAAATTTACACCTTTACAATGTCCTGTAGGATTTCTTATTGTACTTATAAAGTTAATACTTAATGGGTGGTTTCTCCTTTTTTTGTGTGTGTGGGGGGAGTCTATTCTAATAATATTGTTCTAAAAGTAAACGAAGGCAAAAGGCATTTTTGGTAGTAAATCACTACAAATGCTAAAACATTATATGGATCAAATAACTTTTTGGTCACTATGGTAAATAAGCGCCATAAAACACTCATACTCACCAACTATACTTTTTATGTGTTTATAGTATCTAAAGAAGGATAAAACATATCCACTTACCATTTCCTCTTTTTTTTAATGCTTCTTTGGTTTTGATTAATTCTTCTTGGGTTTTAGCTAATTCCTCTTTAACTTGATTAAACTTTATTTGCAAACAAGCAATAGCTTCCTGGGGATCAGCAAGAGATGCAATGTATAAGTGAGCAATTTCAGCCTGTTTCTTAATATCAGTGACATCATCTTGAAGAGAATCAACAATATCTTCAAATCCTAAATAATTCTGAGCTTCCTAAAAACAGTAAAAACCATATACCTAACATTAACAATGGACTTCACCCTTACATATGCTAACACGTTGTTTAAGCAGTTTTTAAAACAGCAAAAAATTTCACAACTTGAAATTCCTTAAGATAAATTATATAAAGTAGTCCCAATTATGAAAACTTTGTGATCCATTATTTATTTGCTATTGTATGGAACATGAGGCATATTTCTTCCCAAAAACATCATAAATTATGGCAAGTCATTACAGAAAAATTATAATTACCTAGTTCTGGTAAAATTTCAATCACAAGTCTTACACACTTTTTTTTTTTTTTTTTAGAATAACCCAGGAAACAAGCCTCTATTTTCACAATTTGGTCAACAACCTACAGTATGCCCAGGACACATAATGGTGGTTTGACAGCAAGATACTAGGTATCACTATCCCAGACCCCCGAACCATTTAATTGAATGAAACGAAACAAAAACAAAAGAACCCTCCACCCTACCCCCATCAAACACTGATCAAATTCGACTTCGATGGAAGCAGCAGCAAAGATAAATTTTCCTAAAGAATACAGAATGAAGCTCGTATGGTGGCTCACACCTATAATCCCAGCACTGGAAAGGACCCAGGAGGGTGGCTAATTCAAGGCCAGCTTGGACTATACAAAGAAACCCCAATGTTTTTAAAGAAAGTAGGGAATGGTAGCTGTCTAGCAATAGCAACCCTTTTTAAAATAAATACTGTTTGAATCAGAAAAGTAAATCACTCCACAGAGTTTCACTAATTCCTCTAATTTCTTTCTGTATGTGTGAATATTTTAGTCAAATCTGAGGGCTATCCCCTATCAGACAAAAAGGATTCTCCTTGCCTACAATCAATACAATGACCCAAGAAATACCAAAACAATCCCAGCACTCCAGAGGCTGAGTCAGGAGAACTGTGAGTTTGAGGCCAGCCTGAGTTATAAAGCGAGACCCTATCTCAAACATGCACATAAACAGACACACACACACACACACACACACACAACATCTATTTGTGCTTATATTCCTAATAAAACATGTCTATTCAAACTATAGCTATACAGTATTTTAATTCTAAACTACATTAACATCTTATATCATTATTTTGCTATACTAAATCCTGACCAAAACCTCACTAAGGTTTTTTAATATTTCAGTTAACATACTTCTGTTTTAACTTTCATGGAACAAACTCCATTTGTCGATTCATCTTGGGTGTCACATTCACCAATCAAATCCTTGAAGATTGCCAAACGACATTCAGCATTTTCTTCTAACATCTCTCGTTCCTGAAAGAGTGTTTCCCTTGATAACAAAAATAATTACAGTAAGAAATTAAAGAGCAACATTTGTGTTTCTATTTTTAAACTTCTAAGATCAAATTACATTACAGACTAAAAGGAAATCATGTATAGGAATTAGTAACAGCTCTCTTTAGGCTTGCATAAAGAAGTCATCAGAATTCAGAAGCTACTTAATACACAACAAGAAAATAAGTTTAAAAAAAATTAAAATTCTCAGGTCATGAAAGAAATAACTTACTTAAAGTCAGCTTCTCGTTGAGCCCAATATTTAGTAAACTCCTGTGTAACTTCTTCTCGAATTTTAAATTCCAATGTTAACTTTTCTTTTTTCTCATTTATTAGTTTTTTTTTCAGGTCTTCTATTAAATCCAACAGCTTCTAAAACATGTAAATATTTAAATTCTTGCAGTTATCACTGTGTATCCCTTCAACAGTGCTAATATTCTCACAGCAAATTGTGCATTTAAAGGATTCATTAATCTGAAATCTCTTCACATTTTAGAAATAGACTACCTTCTAAGAGGTTGGTAGTGTTCACATTTAATAAGTGGAGAAAATAAGGACAAAATCCATGGCAAATAAGCTAAAGGTTAGGTTTAAAAGTATCCTGTGCAGCTAGGGGTGTGGCTTAGTCATAGAGTACCTGCCTAGTAAGCAAAATGACTTGAGTTCAAAGTAAAAAAGTGTCCCATCAAAGTTGCTGTATAGAGCACAGAAATTGCTAAGAACACCCAAACACTTTTCAAAATGCCAAAAAAAGATGTGAGGCTTTTATAATGATCCACAGCTTTGGCCTTCAAAACCACACATATAACCACATAATGTGGACAAGTAACAAATAAATCAATTTAAATATAATCAGTGTAAATAAATAATAAATTACAGCAAGCTAGGTGCCAGTGGTTCAAGCCAATAATCTTAGCTCCTTGGAAGGTTGAGATTAGGAGAACCACAGATCAAGGCCAGCTTGTGCAGGAAGTTTAAGAACCCCATCTCAACCAATTGCTAGGCATGGTGGCATGTACTTGTCACCCCAAGCTATGAGAGAGGCTGAGATCACGAAGATCTTAGTCCCAAGACAGCCCTGGCAAAAAAAGTCCACTCAACTGTAAAAGGCTGGATGTGGTGCTGTGTACCTGTCATCCCAGCAATGGCGGAAAGCTTAAAATAAGATTGTGGTCCAGGTTGGCTTTGACAGAAAGTGAGATCCTATCTCCACAATAACCAGAGCAAAAGGGATGGAGGCATGGCTCAAATGGTAGAATGTTTGCCTACCAAGCACAAAGCCCTAAATTCAAACCCCAGAACTGCCAAATAAATAAACAAATAAGTAAAATATCAATAATAAAATAATTACAGGATTAAGAAAACAGTCCAGGGTTTCTCATCAATGTTTTTCAACAATACACTAATCAATAAACTCAAACCTTTCAAATCTTTCAATGTCTCAATTTTATATTTGAAAACTATCTATAGAAATACTGACTGTGGTGCTGCTTGTGGTAGTCATTACCTTTAAATAGAAAAAAAGTGAAACTGGATTCAATCACCAAACTTAAATGGTTGGTTCAATTATGTTACTGTCATATGATAAACCATTGTAATCAATAATGACCGCAACAGTTCATACTTTTTACAATTTTGGAGTTTTTTTTTGCAGTGTTGGGAATTGAGCCCAGAACCTCATGCATGCTAGGCAACTGCTCTACCACTGAGCCCAATCAGAATTTATTTTTAAATGAGGAAAATCAAGTTATAAAACAGTAATTTATAGCAAAAATCAATTAACATGAGTGGTAAATTAGATCTTTAAACTCTTTTTCCACATTCTACCATGAATATATAATACTAGCTTTATTATTTTAAACAACCACATATTTATTTAAACCAACTGTTTAAAACAATAAATAGTAAGTACCGATGGAGATATGTTGAAGACTTACAGAAATCTGCATAAATGGGAAATTGATTTAATAATTTCCAAGAATTAATTTTATCATTATTAACATCTGAAAAAGTTTTTGCTGAAGTAAGATTCTGGATGGCTATTCTACCTAATGAATGCTAAATAAAAATGTGCTGTATAAATAAATTTTGTAACAATTTTTAATAATCCCAACAAGGCTGGGGATATTCTCAGTTTTGTAGTGTTTTGCCTAACATGAGCAAGGCCCTGGGTTTACCCCCTAGCACCACACACACACACAAAAAAGTCAAATATTAGGCAAAAATTTGATGAGTTTCTCATTTAAAACTATCTAGTAATGCTATAAAATATACATTTGTACTTTGTACTCTATTAAACTAACCATTAAGTATTTTCTCTAAGAAAAAGATTTTAAACACCTTGTGTTTCCCAGAATTTTAATAACATTTCAAGTTTAATCAACACCATACAAAAATTTCAACTTTGAGAAGAACTAAAACAAGACTATTAATGACTCCTTTTGTCACTAAAGGAGGTACTGCATTACGGAGGGCAAGTGAACATGGTCCAATTAACAGTGACCGGATAAAATGGAATGGCATCTGTAGCTTTCATTCACATTTCCTAACAACATAAGAGCAAAAGGGGCTTTCTGAGACACTGATATACGTTGTTAAAATGAGAGAATTTAACCCAGTACAACATTCACCTACTTGGACTTCTATATACAACATGTCAACATCATTAAAGCACTCACGTACAGAGGCTTACAAGTATTCCTAGCACACTGGTAAGAGGACTCCATATATACGTATACAGCCAATTAATGAGAACAGTTAATGTGAACATGATCTAAATTTTGGAATTAGCACAAATTAATCAAATATATGAACTATATTTGCATAGAAGTTAAAAGAACCACAACTGTATCTAATTTACCATAGCAAAAAAGATGTTTTCAGAGAAACGGTCACTGGTACTGGAGCACTTTCAAGATTTCAAACAAGGATTGGAGGTGTGGCTCCCAAGCTTTTAGTGCTGAGTTCAATTCCCAGTACAATTTTAAAAAAGAAAGAAAGTATTTCATTGGGTGAAAAGATATTGGAGAATTGGACATTCACATGGTCTCAATGTATCTTTTCACAGATAATATACTCTTAAAGAGAGATGTGGAATACTATACTTTAATCAATATTTCCAAGAATGGAGAAATCACACATCATGTGTCTTACAAAGTGATGCTTTGGGGAATTCCCAATGTCACATACACAATTTGCTTGCTTGAAGGAATAAACCTGAATCCCGAGGAGATAATCAGGTGAATCTAAATTGGAGGTACTCTATAAGACAAGTAACCTCTTCTTTTCAAGACAAGTCAATGCTAGATAAGAAATGACTAAAGAAATATACTCAAAAGTAATGTGCTTTTTTTGGGCAGCACTGAGGTTTGAACTCAGGGGCCTCATGCTTACAAGGCAGGCATTCTTACCACTTTAATCACTCCACTAGCCTAATAATGTGCTGAGTCTGAAGACAAAAACAAAGTGACTACAAAGGGCGTATTTCTTTCACCAAAAACATGGTGGTATGGATGGAATTAAGAGATTATTGCATCAAAGTTAAATTTCTTAGGCATGAAAATGTTCTTGTGATCATGAGGAAAATATCCATGGTTCTTAAGAAATATATGTAGAAGTACTTAGGTCTAAGATATGATTATATATGCATCTTGTTTTCAACCATATAGCCAAAAAATGTGTATTCACATAAAACAACTGGCAAATCCAAGTGAAAGGTAAATGAGTATTCATTACACTAGTCTTCTGTAGGTTTGAAATTTTTCTAAAAATAAAGCTGAAATACAAGAACATTATTAAAAAAAGAAAACAAACAAATAAAAAAGAATAGCACATGCCTTGTTTGTCACCTTAAATACAAGTGTTCAAACCATCTACTCAGTACAAGTGAAGTAGTACCAGAGATTCTATTTCTCTAAAAACATCTTTTAGCTACAGTGAATAAATAAGAATAATTTTATTTGTTCATATGAGATTTGAACTCAGGGTCTCGCACTCTTGCACTTGCTATGACAGGCACTCTACCACTTGAGCCATTCCACCAGTTCCTTACCATTGCTTCTTTAAGTCTCTATGCAAATATAGTTCATACCTATGTTTAAATTGTACTAATTCTATAATTCCAGCTACTTGGGTGCCTGAGACAGCAGGAATGCTTGAGCCCAGGTATTCAACATAGCGAGACTGCATACATACATATGAAAAAAAAAAAGATAGGAAGGAAGAGAGGGAGGCTTAAGAACTGCTAACCCTACTTTTAGGAAAAATAAGCCAAGCATAAAAGTATGAGTTCTTAATACATACTCTGTTCTCCTGGCTACTGAAAGCCTTATCATCCTCTAATGTTTTATCTAGATCTTCATCAATATGTTCAGTTTCCACATTTAGTTTATCTTCAGCATTTTCTAGATCCTCAACCAAATCTTCATCTTCCACCACATCTTCTAGACTGTTTTCCCAAGAAATGGTGTTTCTTTTTACGTTTAATATTTTATTACCCAAATTATTGTCTAGTGACACATCTTGAGAACATTTGACAAATCCAAAAGACTTCTCTTGACAATTCAAAGAATCTGGAACACAAACCTGTTAAAATATCCAATGTGACTTTTAAACCAAAAAATGCAAGACCATTCTGCTAAGAATAATTAATTTTATAAATTAAGTGAATTGATACCTTAAATGTTAAAGCTGTAAATAAGCAGACAAAAGGAGTTCATATCCTTAAATGAAGATACTTTTTTTCTATTATTTTCTAATCTTTTATTATTATTATTATTATACTGGGAGTACACTGTGACATTTACCAAAGTTCTTACAATATATCATAGTTGAATTCGCCTCCTCCATCATTCTTATTCTCCTTTATCCCTTCCCCCTAGTCCTGGAAACTTTCAACAGGTCTCATTCTTCATTTTCATATATAAGTACATAATACTTCCATCATATTCGCCTTCCTACATCCTAAATAAAGACTCTGATAAGAAAAAAAAATCTACTAATAATTGCAAACTCCAGGTAAATCCACCTTCCTAGATTAAGCTCATAATATTACATCCTAGAAAAGATTCCTATTACCCAACATTAAATGAACCAGATGAATGGCAGAGTAGACGATTCATTCCAACAATACTCATTAATCTGTAACCTATATTAATGACTAATACAGATGACTAAAGTCATTTTAACCCTCTCTGAAGAAACAGTCAATCTTTTCCCATGTTTTCTTACTTGGTTGAATTCTCAAATTTTATTTTCATTTACCTCTTAGGCTTAGAGGTATGTACTAAATACAAAACGTATTTATTTCAAAGAAAATTGTTAATATTCTAGTAAGAAGCAGTTTCATAAATTTTGCAGAAATAAGAATATCTTTACCTTTTGTGCAATGGCTGAGAACTTCAGTACATTGATTGTTTCATCATATGCAAAACAACACTGGCTGATATTGACGATCATACATATTTTTCCTTTACCGTTAAAAAAACTTTGAAAATAGTGGGTCAGTTTACTTTCTCGGAAAGGCACATGCTGTTGAAACCTATGGAAAAGTTTTTCAAAACATGGTAAGCTAAAACAAATTTTCTAAAAGGTTATGGACATAGCTAGGTGGTATAGTACTTGCCTAGCAGGTACCAGGCCATGGGTTCAATCCCCAGCTCAATATAAACAGTCAGGTTGCTGATAAATTTTACAAATAATTCAGCTGTCATGGACATAAACTTTAGGTTAGTGACTATTCCACATGCAACAGTACACTGGACAAGATGTAGATAAAAATCACATTTAATTGGATTGTAGCCCTAATACAAAACAATTATATAATAGATGTCACAAAACACCATAAATGGCCTGACACAGTGATTCAAGCCTGTAATTGTAGCTAGTTGGGAGGTGGAGAGCAGGAGGATCAGGGTTCAAGTACCACATGGGCAAAAAGTTTGTAAGACCCTTCTCAACCAATAGTTAGACAAAATGGCATGCACATGTCATCCCAGCTATGTGGAGAAGCACAAATAGGAAGATCTGGACCAAGATAGCCTAGGCATACAGCAAGACCTGTCTCAAAAACAACCAATGCAAAAAGGGCTGGTAGAGTGGCTTAAGAGGTAGAGCATCCACCTAGCAAGTGCAAGGCCCTAAATTCAATGCCTCATACTACAACATAAAATAAATAACACATCTTCACTATGAAACAGAATGGTAGGGGCTGACCTTTCCATAGGATACTGGGACATAAGTTAAACGTTGTTAGAGTATGGTTAAATATTTTTAAAGTACCAATACTGATAAATCTTTATTTTAAATACCCTCTGAAGGATGCTTTGGCTCAACACGAGACAAGCTGCCATAACTGCCAACCACACCAGAGGAGTAGGGCACTTTGGCCCAACAGAAGATCTGTGATTTGTGCAAACACAATCCTTCATTTGTAAAACGGATTGTTCCATGATTGATGCAAGCATGAGGGGACTATGGTGATTAGTGTAGACACCCTTATGCCCTCCTCCTTCTAGCTAAATAATCAGGCTGCTCAACTCACTTTGTGAGCAGCTGGGAGATAACCTCCCCCTTCTCCTCTCCCTGGTGTTACAACACCAGGTCCCAATAAAGGTTTTCTGCCAGTGGTCTTGCGTACCTTTACTGAGCTGGTTACATGAAGAATAAGAAAAAGCAGTAGTGGCAGAGCAGAAACTGCGCTGATAACAGGGCAGCAATAAGGCTGGCAATTTGAATGACCTATGCAAAACTGACAGGAGTGGCAGAGGCAGGTAGAGGCTGGCAGCAGAGCACATCATTGGGCAGTGGACTGTTGCAACACCTAAGGACTAGGGTCACTTAGGATAGGGATTGGTCAGAGAGCGATCTCTTCCACCCCACCACAGGAGCTGTAACACCTGGGGTCCCAAATGATGAAGAGACCCCTTCCATCATGGGAGCTGTTAACATTTGGGATCTCATAACCTGTGCTACACCCTAGCTGTCAGGGAACCTGGGCCCACCCTGAGGCTGAACCCCATGCCTGCTTCCTTAGCTGTAAGGGGCCTTGCACCCTAACATCAAGGCCCAAACCCAGTGTCACTGCCTTAGCTGTCAGGTGCCTCACACCCTAATCCCAAGGACCAAACCTTACGATACCACCCTAACTGTTATAGGCTGAGGACGGACTGCCTTTGCTTACTGTCATCTGTCTACTCCGCTGTCTACAAATAACTGCAAGGGCTCAGAATTACAGGAGGAGCTTCTCCTTACCTACGTATAACTTCTATCTGGGTAGAGAAGAAGAGACCTTAACAACTGGTTGTAGCAAGTAGAAATGGTGAAAACTAATCTTATCATTTACTTACTCTCAAATGCTAATTAATTCAAAAATCTATCACATTCAGAAAAACACAATGTATTAGTTAAGAATAAAGTGGTTTTAAGTGCCACTTTAAACAAGTAGCATAAAAAAAACAAAAAAATCTTATTGTGTACCGTGCCTATTAGTGTAAATTTCCTCTGGAAAATACTGAGTTTACCTGATGCATTATTGGCACCAACTTTCATTTCTACCATTTTTTTTAATCCAAAATCTCTAGAAATACTTTATCATACTCCATACAGTTATTATATCATAATCAGATTCTCTAAAAAGTACTTTCTGAAAAACAGCAATGTTGAAAGTCTAAATATTACATGTAATATGCTTAATAACACTAACTTTGACTTTTCACTGTTCTTCAAAACATTTATACACTTTCCCAGAGTCAATAAAGAAGTGTTGATATTCCCAGCCTCTCTTAACCGTTCGCCTTCATTTTGTGTCTTCACGCTTCGTTCTGAACCAGCAAGATCACACAAAGACAATCTAAACCAACCAAAAAGAAAAAAACAAATATTGTAAAATTATTCAAAACAATTTGAAATAATTATAATTTTAAGAATACTCAACTTACTCACTGACTCGAATTACACGAGGCATTTCAGAATCTTCAATCTGCAGTATTCTAATAGTGAATATGCTATGACTAAAAATACACAAAAATTAAATGTTATCTTTCCATTTTTAATTTCTGCATTCTAAATAAAGGAGCTAAGCATCTAAATGGAAATGTATGTATACTCTACTATTAGCCATAGCCCACCACTGCTAGTTCCAACTAGCTGCCAGATGTTTCAACCCAGTGTTCCACTGTCACCTACACACCCAGTCTAAAATTGCATCTGATCTTTTGCCTAGCCCCAATTCCTGTAAACCTTCTGCTCTTGACATTCCAATTTCTATTAATCAAATAATTAATAATGTTCAATTTTCTTGCAAATAACATATTATTTGTTAAAATGGTATTGTGTACAGCTAATATTCCTTGAAAACAGACCAAAACCAAAGTATACTTGTATATATGTATATATATATATATATATATATATATATATATGGCATGACTCAAGTGGCGGAGCACCTGTTTGAAGAGGGACCCGAGTTCAAACTCCAATAGTACTGATAATACGTGTTTAGTGCTCTTCAATCTACAGAAGTTTTTATGCTTGTGAATATTCTTAACATATCAGAAAACTGACTGCTCACTTTAAAATTAGTTGTATTTATACTAGTACAGAAAACTGTGGGTTCTTTGGGAAAGTCATAGGGTTTACTCCTTACCTTCTACTAGAAGCACTGTTCAGTTTCGTGAAGGCAACACTCTGGTGCTTTATTCCTAGCTTTAAAAGTCTATATGCTTCTTTGGAATCAGATACTTGAATCCATTGTACATCTTTAAAACATAAGCAGGACATACCAGTTTATAAAAACACAAGATGATTTATTTTTACAATATAATGTTTTTGATGTTTTTTTTCCTGGGGACATACAGTAAAAAATTTAACAACACGTCCTAGCTGGAGCCAACTAAGCTATTCTACACTCAAGAGAGGAAAAAGATGGGGGATTACAATGATGTTTTAGTATTTAAGCTATGCAAACAGACTCAGCAAAGGAAAAAATAAAAATCAAACCTCATTAGAAACGCAGTGGGGACAAAAAGAACAAAATACAGGAAGGATTAAATCTACAAAATTATGTAGCTATGAAACATTGTAGATTGTAATTCATTAGTCAACCAAGAAGTCAAATTTTTGGGTCATAAACAACATTTTGTAAAAATGAAACAGAAGCTAAAATACATCACATATATATGCATAAATGTATAAGTACTTGGTCATAAGGTTATTAATATGTATTTTCTATTGTAAGCAAGAGTTTTAAAAGGTTAGAACTTTCATTATAGAACAGAAATTTCACAGCTCCCAAATTAATATAAATATCAACATGCCTGGTTTTTTACCACAAAGAATTCAATTAATCATATTCAAGCACACATAATACTAAACTAGACCTTTTTATATTCAAATGTAACAAATAAATATACCAAAACATACTTCCTTTTTTAGGTTGTGTGTAATGACAGTTGTGATACTGCATTATAGTCTGCTTTCCTGTAACTATCACACAGCCCAGAAAGGAGCTCTGGAGCAGTAAGATAAAAATGTCCATCAGTGTACCTTTAATAAAAGAATAGCCCTTCACATCTTGGGAAAGACGTAGCATCTTTCGCTTTTGGAACTTAGGTGATGCAGGAACAAACAGGTCATAAATACACTCATTGTAAATCTCAAAAAAGGAAATCCATACAGAAAACTTTATATTATCCACAGTCAAGCTAGCTTGGTCACAATCTTTCATGGATTCTTCAAGTTCTAGGTTAGTCGAAGAATTTGTTAAGCTTCCTATTAAAAAAAAAAACAGAAAGAAAAAAGATAAACACAAAATTAAGCAACTAATTCTAATGAAAAAGCAAGTATCCTTAATCTTTTAATCATCTATGTTAAATACTTTTTGGAACAAAGAAAGAAAGAAATAATATTTGCCACAACCAAAGTTTGGCTTCTTGTCCTTCCTTTCTTTTTTGAAGTCATGTTGGTGAACCAAAAAGGAATCAAACTCCAAGGACAAAGAAAAAAAGAGCATCTGGTGAATTCAACATTGAAGTTATAGCTAGTGAAAGGTGTATGTGATATTTATTTAACATAAATGAAATTTTACAAAATTCATATAGCTATCTACCACTTTCCAGGCACTTTGCAATAAAGAAGTTTAGTTACCAGGAATGTCTTAAAAATGAAATGTTTTTCAAATGTATTTCACATGATCAACAAATCAAAGTGAGAAAGGAAATCTTACCACAAAGAGTATCACAACTGTCATTACACATAGCAACCTAAAAAAGAAAGAAAACATTTTGAATTAATGTTAAATAGGCGAGATACTAATTACCTAGCCAAGTAAGTCACCAACTGAATAACAACCAATCATCCACATAATTCAATGACTCCTGTTTATTAATATTTGTCCTAGTTAAATAATATAGTTTAAGAAATTTGAGAAACTAAAATAGCGAAAAAGAATACTACCATTAAAATCCCTGTCGGCCAGAGATAATTACTGCTAATATTTAAATATATTCCCCTTTTTACTTTCCCCCCCACATTAAAGTCATTTTGTAACCTTTTCCTTGGTATAAATGAAAATTATTTATAAACATGATGGCTATGTAATGAACAGATATAAGATGAATTAATTATTCCCTTATAGTTTGGATTATTTACAAGACTTTGTCAGTAAAATACTATCATAATCATCTTTATTTTAGTCTGCATTCTGATTATTAGTATATAACAAAAAGTGAATTGGTGAATGAAAAAATATAAAGTTTTAAAGTTCAAGGTCTTAATATGGTATAGCCAAATTGCTTTTTGTAATAAATGCATGTAAACATTTTATAATCAATGTATGTAAATATATGCCCCATTTTTAATAGTTTAATAATTTCATAAACTATTAATTTCTTCTATGAGTTACCTGTGCAATTATCTACCAGCCTCCACAATTTTTGCAAAAATACTCAGTACTTCAGAGACCACACTCATGACTGAAATTTGAACCCACTTAAATTTTTTTTTTGAGACAGGATCCTGCTATGTAGCCCAGGCTTGCCTTTAAGTCTTCATCCTTCCACCTATGCCTCCTGAGTGCAGGGCGTATAGTTGTCACTTCACCCAACTGAAACATTTTTTCTTATTACTTTAAACTCTGGTTCCTAAATGACTTGTTGTTGCTGCTGTTGTTGTGTTGTTTGTTTGTTTAAGAGATAGGTCTCACTATGTTTTCCAGGCTTATACCAAAATCTTGGGCTCAGTCTCCCAAGTAGCCAGGATTAAAGGCACAAGCCACCACACCCAATTTCTCTCAATATCTTAAAAACATTCCCATTAACGTCCTGAAAATATTTATAAAAACTGTTACTGTTTTTTCTAAATGTTGAGCAGCATAAATGCTAGAAAACATTATCCAAAACCTAGAAGGCACAGAAGAAATAAATAGACAAATACAACATCCTAAAACATTTTAAAAGCTTGTGTAGTACCATCTTGTATGAAATACCATTCCTTCAGAGCACAGTTTATTGATTTTTCTATTGATTTTATTGCTCTGCTATGGTTTGAATATCTCCGCGAAAACTCATGTCGAGATGTAATCCTCACTGCAAGGTATTAAAAGGTATTCTGCTCTGACGGATTAATCCATTCATGGATCAATGGATTAATGGTTACCACAGAAGAGTGTTTATTATAAAATCCAGTATGGCTCTGTCCCTTGGCTATGCCCCACCTGCCATGTGATGCCCTGTACCACCTACACAGAGTCCCTATAGCAAGAAAGACATTACCAGGTGAAGGTTTTCAGGTTGACTAAACCTTTACTCTTTATAAATTACCTAGCTAGAAGTATTCAGTTATAGCAACCATAATAGTCTCCATGATGGCAGTGGAGACTAATATTTGACCTCATAATCTGAAACACTGCTGGACCACATCTGGTATCTAAATAAAAATTTATTCAACAAGTTAATATAGAAAAACACAGTGGAGGGAAGATGTCATGCTGGAGACTGAACCCAGGGGCTCATACATGCTATGCAATTGCTCTATCACTGAGCTACGTCTCAAGTCCCTGTGACTTATTTAAATAAATAATTTCTTAAACCTCAGGAAGAAAGTCAATTAACAATAGAAAAATGGGCAAAGAAATTATCTGATAATTCACAGGAAAAAATTCTAATTAGAGAAACATAAATTAAGGGTAAGTGATACAATTTTTCACATGCCTGACCACAAACTTTTAAATATGCTGCAGGACAGGCATGGGAGGTATACATCTATAATCCTGGAATTCAGGAGGCTGAGGCAGGAAAATCAGGAGTTCAAGGCCAGCCTAGGCTACATAGTGATCCCCTGTCTCAAATAAGTAATACTAATCAAATAAAATCCACTGTTGAACTGAGTTTGGGAAAATTACCAGCAAATGTTTTTGTAATAGAATACTTCCTCACTGAAGTACTGTTTAAAATAGTTTCTGATGAAAGCAATGCAAATGTTCACCAGTAGGGAATTGGTTTTAAAAACTGATTTTTCTAAAAATTAAAAAACAAAGTAAGCATATAACCTAACAGAAAACAGACACCAATGATTAATGCAGTAAATGTTAAGATATGATAAATGAGTCATAAAGTCATAGAAAAGTACAGCAAGATTATCAGTTGTTTTAAAACGAATTATATCCTATATATAACATTAAAAAAAAAAAAAAAAGAGGGGCAAAGGATATAGCTCATTGATAGACTGCTTGCCTAGCATGCATGATACCCTTGGTTCAATTCTCACCATCACAAAGAAAAGAAAAAGATAAAAATACATGCAACAGTATCACTGTGTACGTACATGCAGACATATAGAAAATTCTGTGTATAAGCCAGGGTTGGCAGTGCACATCTGTAATCCCAACACTCAAGAGATTGAGGCAGGAGGATCATGAATTTGAGGCTAGCCTGGGTTCAGGGCAAGATCTTATCTCAAAAAACAACCAAAAATTCTGTGCACAGACTTTATATAAATAGAAAAAGCTCAAAAAAGTATACTTTCCAATATGTTAATGGTGGTTTTCTCTTTAGAAATGCAAATATAAGAAACTTCCATTTTTTATCTCTCACATTCGCTTATTTAAATTGCGTGTATACATTACTTATATAATGAAAACCAGAAGTTTTATAAGTCATTACACAAAAATACAATGTTGTTTCTACAATAAAATAGACTCTGTAACCATTTACATTTGAATTGAAGCATTCTACTTTGTCCAATACAAAGTAAGTAGAAGAGATGTCTTCAATCTTTATTTTTCTCAAAAGAAAAAAAAAAAAAAGCCACAACCATAAAACACATTGCAATATAGGCTGAAATAATCTAACGAGTTTTAATAAGAGGCTATAACATGTTTACCTATTTTACGTACTAAAATGCTTCCATACCTCTTTAATTTGTCGAAGTAATGCACCTTTGCTTGCACCTTCTTCTTTTTCTTGATCTGGTGACAACCTTAAGTACTCTCTGGATCTATGTGGTTTTAGGTTCATCTTGGTATATAATCTTTCCTGAAGACCATCAAATAATACATTCAAAGTTCTAGGCAAAATGCCAATATTTTCTTCTGTGCCTGTAAGAGAATTTTTGTGTTATAATTGCTCAGACTAGTAGGAAGACAGAACTTTCCTGGCTAATAAGGCTCCTATTATACTAATAAACTCGAGTAACAATGAAGCAAAAGGAGAGAGAGAGAGAGTGAGGGATTATTCAGTTTTCTATCACTTTGGTCTTCGCTAAATTAGCAACATTTCATTTTCATTCTGATGCAAGCCCTGAAATTTTACATTCAGATCAGACCATAATATTAAGATGTCCAATGACCCATAATCACAAAATATTACAGTAAAATAAAAAATACCCTCACTGTTCATCCGTGCTTAATTCTCTATATCACATCAATTCCTTCCTGAATTTTTACCATCATGTTCTTCTCTATCATGTAAGTAATATAAATCAAATAAAGCTGAATTAAAAGCCATCAGCTTTTAATGACTGAGAGCATGGCTCAAGTGGTAGAGGGCTTGCCTAGCAAGCCAGAGAGAACCTGAGTTCATTCTCTATATACACACAGCCATCAGAAATGCACATTCAATACACTGACACTACTAAAAACAGAAAACATGTACAAGGTCATGAAAACATAATTACATGAAATAACAGAAAACACCAACTAAATATTATTGCTTCTTCTTCCTTTCTAGACAAAATAATATATACCTTGAAATGTATATGTTTTGCCTGAATTGGTTAGCCCGTAAGTAAAAATCAGCCGACTCTGTCCTTTCAAGAGGTCTTTTACTGGCTGCACAATACAACCCTGAAAGAATTCTTTCTGCGAAGTTGCTGGTCCAAAAACCTGAAGAAGCATTTTCAAGACAAGTATTTTTAGTTCAAGTTAATATTCACAAGGAGTTTCACCCTCTCTCATGTTTCAAAGATTTTCAACATTGGTTTTATAAAATTTATTCTCAAAGTAGATGCTATATCCCCACTACCAAAAGTACATTAAACACATAGTTAACTACTACCAACAAGTTTTTAAGATAGAAATCTCGCCCAATCTAGTTTTCATCTGAGTTTTATGAAGAGTATCTCTTTACATAAAAAAAGAACATTGCAGTGATTTACTCACTTCCAATTGTGTATTTTCAGACCTGAAATGAGTCCTACTCTCAAAACAAAAATACTAGTATCAAGATCTAATTTCTATAAGCACAAAATATACAGTTTGTTATACGTGATTATATAACAATTTAACCTAAGCCAAGTTTCACTCACTTTAAAAAAAGGGCAGAGGGCTAAGAAAACTGGGGTAGGGCAGCTCAGTGGTAGAGCATGTGCTTTGCATGCATGCAAGGCCCTGTGTTCATTCCCCAGCATATTCCCCTAAAAATGCAGTTTCACAGAGTGGTTACCTTGGAAAAACTAAATTTCTGTGCCATCTGCCCAGAGCTTTTCTCACTTAACCGCCCAAGGATGCTTTGAGGATCTTTCAGCAGAACAGTCTGTGAATCCAGAACATGCACGCATCCCTAGAACACATACCCATAATAAATGAGAACAATAGTATTTTGCCTGTTTAGTGAAAGCACAATCTTAAAATCCAATTAAATTCAACACAAACCTCAGACTCATGTTCTTTTTCTGATTGTGTGAATGGTCTTATTCGAAGACAAACTTGGAGATAATCTTTAGATGTCAAACTGTTCTCCTAAAAAAGGATAACAAAATAACTATATTTTTGAAGTAGAGAATACAACTTTCCATAGATATTTTTTTCACATGGCTGATTATATAGTAATCTGAGATTATAAACAATTTCCAAACAGTCACTATTCTGTTTTGTTTCTGTTCCTTGTGACTTTTTTGAGACAGGGTCTTCACTATGTTGATCAGGCTGGCCTTGTACTTGAAATCCTTCTAGTTTGGTCTCCCCAGTGCTGGGATTACAGGCCTACAACCCCACACCACGCTACTATTGTTTTTAGCCATTTTAAATGTTTAAAGAAAGACTTACCAGAAAAAATGGCTTTTAAAAAAAAAAAATAAAGTATACCACAAAAGACTCCATCCCTCTACCTCTTATACTTATGTGAAGTCTGCAAAAACCCTTTTTTCCATAGAAGTTTAATCCACATATCTAATACAATTAACAGGGTTCTTTGCACTGGAAACCATAACTCTATAATTATAATCAGAACATTCTATTAATCCAAATGCTGGCGTTCACCATGCATTCAAAATTTTTTTTACTATATAACATTCTCTTTGTTTTTCTTAAGAAAGAAATGAGCTTACCTCATTTTGTAAGATACTTTAAATGAAATGTTATAAATTAAAAAAATAAAAGAATAAAAAGGAACAATTATGGGAAAACAAAGCTTATCAAAATAGACACAAGAATAGAAAATCTGAGTAACAATATTCTATTAAACAAATTCAATCCAGGCCTGGGGATGTGGCTCAGTGGTAGAGCACTTTTCTAGCATGCACAAAGCCCTGGATTTGATCCCCAGCACCAAAACAAAACAAAACCACAATCCATTATCAAACAAAATAATCCTACGACAAAATCTTCAGGCCCTGGTAATTTGCTGATAAACTCTCTCAAACATTTTAAGGAAATAATTATACAAAAACTCTTTAAGGAAATACAGGCCTGGACATGGTAGCAAAGGCCTGAATCTTAGTGCTTAATTTCAAATTCAAGGACTGGGCCACATAGTAAGACCCTTTATCAAAACAAAAACAAAAACAAAAAACCACTTCAACTAATTCTGAGTTTGAGGTAACTTGATACCACAATATGACAAGGAAATCTTACGAAAAAATTATAAAATATTCCACATTAAGATAGGTACAAAATTTCCCTAACAAAATACCAGGCAATATATACAGTAATACATCATGACCAACAATGGTTTATCCTAGGTATATAAGTAAGATCATTTTAACATTTAAAAAACAATCAGTGTAAAACAAAAAAGAAATCAGGGTAATTGAGCACACACAAAAAAATGAGCTTTTATGTATATAGATGTAAACAAAGCATTTGACAAAATTTAACATCTACTTAAAAAAATTCTCAGCAAAATGTAATAGAAGGAAACTTTTTCTACTCAATAAAGGGCATTTACAAAAAACCAACAGATAAAGTATTTAATTGTGAAAGACTAAATATGTTTTCCTGCTTGGTTTTTTGGAGACAAGGTCTTGCTGTATAGCACAGACTGTCATCAAACTGGTGATCCTGTTGCCTCAGTTTTTTCCAATACTGGGATTACAGGGATGTACCACTACACCTGGCTTGGGAAAGACTGACTCTAACACGGTAGCAGCAAGACAAAGGATTTCTGCTTCACTTTTATTCAACACTACTAGAACTGATACCTTGATAACCAAGGGATCAATAAAAAAACAAACATGAAAAAGAAGGAAAATAAACTCAAATTGAGGAAAAAAAGGTTCTCTACTCATAAACATGAGCATCACCTATAAGATCTGACAGTTACTAAAGCTACTAAATAAGATTAATAAAGTAGCATGCTACAAGTCAATATCTAAGATCAATTGTTTATCAACCTATACCAGGAATAGTAAGAAATTGATTTTTAAAAGGAATAGCTCTCACAAGAGTATCAAAAATTCTGAAATACTTAGGAATAAATCAGAAAAAAATAAAGATGTGAAAAACCCGTTGATAAAAACCTACAAAAAACACTGCTGAGAGAAATTGAGGGAGACCAAACAAAATGAAGATATACCTTGGTCACTGTTTTGTAGACTCAATATTGTTATGATGGATTCTTCTAAAACTGATTTACAGATTCAATCAATTCCAATCAAGTTATTTTTTTCCCAAATGAGATTTTATGAAAGTAACAAATTAATTTTAAAATTTACATAGAAATGTAAAGTACATATGAGAGCCAAACAACTCTGAAAAAGAAATTTGAAGAGCCAGCACTCCTGGCAAGGCTTCAAAACTTTTTTGGGGGGGTGGGGGGAGGGAAGGGGCAGTTGAAGAAGGCCGCTCTACTCCTTGCATCACACCTTCAGCACTAAACGCTTATTTTAATGCTACAGTAATTGAAAGTTTCCTACTATAAGAAAGACCTACTAGCAGAAAAGGCCTATCTTGGAGATATTGCAAGTTCAGTTCCAAACCACCATGGTAAAGTGATAAAGCTGAAATCATAAAAAAGTGAGTCACATGACTATTTTAGTAGTAAGTATAATGGTTAAAGAATGAAATTTTAAAGATATTTTTTCAGATAATTTTTTTTTTTTCAAATGGCTACCAGGTGAGGGCATGAACACTTTAAAGTACTACTTGGGAAATAACTGTTAGATATTTCTTTCAACTTAGGGCTCCATGGAAAAGTTACTGAGACACAAGGTTGCGTTAAAGCTAAAAAGTTCAGGGCTCTGTCTAGTGACATACACACATATTTCCCCATATCATGACAATCAATATAATACATTTCACATCCTGTACTTACCTCAGTGTTTGATGCTACTAAGGAAAATTCATGAGAGAGATCAAGCTTAATGCCATCAAAATTTATTCCTGAAGGCCTCTCAACCGGGTCAGCGCTAAAAACATAAGATGGTCTAGGCACCCCATCTTGACTCAGATTAGATTCCATTCTGTAAGAATAGCAGCAACATCTTTAGACACTTTAGTAAATCAGTAAGCAAGCCCCTCACAACTTAAAACGTCTACAGTTACAATGTACTACTTTCTCCCAAACAAGGCTTCAGAGAAAGAAAACAAGACTGTATCATTTATCTGGAAAATTACTTTCAATTTAATTCTTCCAAGTGTAGGTAAAAGTGAAAAAAAAAATATGTGAGCACATTTAAAAGAATACCTGGACTTGGGGGGGAGGGGTGGGTTGTACAGCTCTTGCCTAGCATTTCTGAGGCTCTGGGTTCCATCCCCAGCATCCACAAAATAAATATATAAATAAATCAGTGCCTGACACATCACAGGTCTTGGGAGAGGGGGAAGTACCAAAGATTGAACTCAGTACTACTCTATCACTTGAGCTATGTGCCCAGTCCTTTTGTTTTCAGTTTGTTTTTCAGATAGTTTCCTGTTTTTTTGCCTGGAGCTGGCCTCTAAACGAGATCCTCCTACCTGGGCATCCCTCCCATCTTCAACTCCTGAGTAGCTGGGATTATAGGTGTGGCCCATAATGCAAGCCTCCATCACAGGTCTTAAATTAAGCTGAATAATGCCATCACTCAACTATTATAACTGAATTAAACATTGTATCACTAAACTTAAAGGTAAACTTAAAGGATAACCACAACATTTCAAAATGTACCAAGAATCTACTAAATGCACAATACCTTAGGGAGAGAGGGAGGTCTCTGTTCTTTGATGAGACTATAAAACAGGCACAACAGCGATTCCCAAACTAAGTTTCCAGGCTGGAGAAAGTAGTAATGGGAGCCCACATTTGTTTAGTTCTTCACAACAGTCAGGGACAAGCTCAAAGCCTTAATTCATTAGCGAGGTGAGGCACTACTCAAATGTGTGCACATCCATTTGTCTTATTTTGTTTTGTTTTTTGTATCGAGATTTGAACTCAGGGCCTTGACCTCCTAGGCAGGCGCTCAAGCCCTTGAGCCTCGCTGCCTGCCCCCCACCCACCATTTGCTTTAAATATAGCCCAAATAAGCATATTTTTAGCCATTTAGAGCCCGCCCGATGTGACATTCCCGGAAAGAAAACATATGGATCAAACCGCTCACCTCCGGGATTCAGAAAACTAGGTTTGGCAAAAGTGGCCTATTTCTCAACAGAAGCAACCACAATATTAAAAATGTCCATGACTGCAAAGGGTCTACTATGTGGAAGCAATGTTTCTAACAACTTTAGACATTCTCATTTAGCCTTCACAAAGACCATAAGAAGTAGGCATTATTATCGTCTCCTTTAACAGATGAGGGAATTGAGGCCCAGAGAAATTCAATAAACTGCCTTGTGACACCCAGCTAATCGGCGGTCTAAACCCTAACCAGAGTAGTTCGGCTCAATCTTCACTGCTTTGCAACCCAGTTCCTGCTTTAGGGCCCTCAGAAAATGTTGACACTTCCACAGCCGTTCCCAGCTTCAGGCGTGCTATACACGTACTCACCTACCTTTTACTCCGCACCTTTACAAGGGTCACCTCCTCACCCGCAATATCGCCCGGTGGAGGACAGTCAAGCAGCGCCAAAGCGTTTTCGTTTTCAAATTCAAACAATGGCGGCCAAGGTATCGCACTGAACGCTGGGAGTGGGCGGGGCTTCCGGAGCGCTAGGGGAGCGTCCCTGCCTCGCATTGCCAGCGACTCCCGGAAGAAGCTCTCAACTCTGGGGGCGGGACTTACAGCGCGGAGCGTCCAATAAACAGCGGCGGGCTCGTGGGCGGCCCGGGGTCGGAATGTGTATCTTGCCTCAGGGTTCCTCATGGCTAGGATAGGTGTCACCCTCTATTGGCTGGAAGCAAGTCTCTGGTTCCGGCCTTGAGACATCCAAAGACCGGTCGAAGGCCCCGAGGTGAGGCCGCTGTTAACGCACTTAGTTCCGCGACCCTCCCAGGGACGTGCGGAGGAATTGCGTAGGGCTAGTCACCTCCGGGTCTTGTATCCGCGGGGCCGGAAAAGACTTCCTCATCCCAGGATCCGGGGTCACCTCCATCCCTGCGTGATCCTGCCAGTCGTCGACAGCGGCACTCGTGGACGAAACACATAACATTTTTATGAGAATTTTCTTTTTTCTTTTCGCCTTTCTAATCCTATAAAGCAGCTACTGCTGCAAGGCGTTGTGCTGTGTCCGTTTTAACATAGGCAAGGTCTTTGCGGTGCCCAAAATGTAAGTGCCAGTGCATCCTCTTGTTCTTTAAAAGTAATCCTCTTTATTTACTATTACATATGACAAGTATTTACAACTCAGGCTGTCTCTCCTCACTGTACTTCATTTTAAAGAAAAATAACTGCTAACATAAGTTGGGCGTTTACCTTGTGCCTTGAGATGCCAAGGTTGTAAAGTGGATTATCTCACTGATCCTGAGAACAACCCTTTGAGGTAGGTATCGTTGTCATCCCATTTTATAACTTCTGAGAAATCTGAGTTCACAGTGTTAAGTAATGGACCCAAAAGCAAATAGAGCAAGGGTTTAAATTCAACTCTAGGATTTCAGAACCCTCTCTCTTTCATGTGGTCTTTTTTTCGAGTAATTTACTTGATTAGAAGCATTTTGGGAACATCTAGTTTGATGAGCTTACTGTTGTCTTCCTTTCCTTATGCTGTATTTACATCTCCTTTCACCTACCCTTTCCCTCAGTAACTTTCCACTGTCTCATTCAGTTTGTCTTCTTTCCACACAAAATAAAATTTGAGGTGAACAAGTGTGGAATAGAGAAGAGGATGTGGGGCCAGGAGGAAAGGTGAACAATGAAATGTAGATGTAAAAGAGAAGAAAGGAGAGAAGATAAAATAGAACTTTTTCGTTCCAGGCTGGAACTTGTTTTGTTTTTGACTTGACTAAGTCTTCTTGTTTGTTTTTAGGATGGGGTCTTGCTGTTGTAGCTCAGTTGGCCTCCAATTCAAGATCTTCCTGCCTGCATGAATCTCTCTCTCTCTCTCTCTCTCTCTCTCTCTCTCTCTCTCTCTCTCTCTCTCGCTCCCTCCTCTCTTTCTCTCCCCTCTACTCTCCTCTCCTCTCTTCTCTCTCTCTCTCTCTCTCACATTACAAGCAAGTAACACACCACTCAGAATTTAAGTCTTTAGTGGGTTGTATGTCACAGTCTCCATTGCTCCTACACAAAAGTCTATCCCTGAATTCATGCTCTTTATCGTAACTCACAATGTCTTATTGCTTTTACTAGTTGTCATTGATTCCCAGCTCTTAAACCCTCCAGGTGCTACATTTATTTATTTGTCAAATATATGGAGAAAATCTGCTATATGCTAGGGTATAGAAATAGTGGAGAAGCATGAGCATAAAGACACTAACCTGGAGAGACTTAAATTCTAATGGGGGAAAACAATCAAGTTAGCATACAAATAATTGAGAAATCACAACTTTACTAAGTGGCTTGAAGGAAATGTTCTCAGAGGTATAGGAGTGTCATAGGAGAACTTCAGCAAGTGTTTGGTCTGTATCTTCAAGGGTCATTAGTAGTTAACTAGGTAAGAAAGAGACATGAACATGTCAGGCAGAGGGGACATTATACTGGGCACAGGAGAAAGGAGTAACCAAAAATCCAATGAGTTTTCTTTCATTTCATTACGGTTTCCAGCAGTATTGGACAGGTGAATGTTTCATCCACACAGTTAAATGTTTCAGCCTTGAAACACTCTTCATCTGGCTGCTGGGTCACCACTCTTCTTTTGTACTCCTAAACTCTCTTGTCATACGTTAGTCTTCCTTTTTCTCCTACTATGCTTTGTCTCCTGCAAGTTCCCTCTTGGCAACCCTATAACTCTTATGGATTGAAATAGCATCTTTATACTGCATTATTTAATTCCTTACCCCTCCTCTCCTCACTCAAACTAGAGGGAAATATTCTGGTACCCACTTAGTATCTCCAATTGAATGTGTAACAGGTATCTCTATCTTAACATGTTCAGTTTGGTTCTCTGGATTTTTCACTAAAAAAACTGAAATTCTCTCTTCTCTAATCTTCTCCATCTCAGTAAATGATACAGCCATACATCTACCCAGTTATTAAAGACGATTGCTCTCTGAATCCTCCTTCCACTCACTCTTACCAGTTCATAAACATCTGCAGCTTCAGAATTTTAAGTGAAATAAATACGCTTTAACCTTTTCATTGCCCAAGCCCAAGTCTCTCACTGGACTCCTTTTTTCAGTCCTGCACTTCTCTACGCTATTCATCACAGAGCTACCAAACTAATCTCAAAAAGCAAATGATTATATAATTCCCTTGATTTCAATGACATTTTAGAAATAAATCTTACACTGATAAGTGACAAAGAAAAAGAAGAAAGCTACAAATGACTATAAAAGTCCCCCTTATCCACAGTTTCACTTTCCAAAGTTTGTTACCCAGAGTCAGCTGTGCTCAGAATTTATCAATAATAACCTAATGCCACACACAGCACAATGCCTATGTCATTCATTTCATCTCATCACATAGGCATTGTATAATCTCATGTTGTCTCAAGATGGGTGAGTATAGTACAATAAGTTGGTTTTTGTTGTTGGTTTTTGGGGGGATTTTTTTGGTTTTTTTTTTTTTTTTTTTTGCTGTACTGGGGCTTGAACTCAGAGACTATACCTTCAGCCACTCCACCAGCCCTCTTTTGTGATGGGTTTTTTCAAGATAGGGTCTCGCAGACTACTTTCCCCAGTTTGCTTCGAACCATGATCTTCCTAATCTCTGGCTCCTTAATAGCTAGGATTACAGGCATGTAAAATAAGTATTGAGAGACCACATTCACATAACTTTTATTACAGTATAGTTATAATTGTTCTATTTTATTATTAGTTATTGTTAATGTTTTACTGTGTAATCTATAAATTATACTTTATCATAGAATATTTATGTGTATGATACCTCTACATACAAATATGTATATGTACTTTTTAAAATTTTTCATCCAAGGTTCCTGACTCATAACTCCCTCCCCAAGGTAGGCCATAGAAACTAGAATTTCTCTTTCCCAAAATAGGTAAAATGGGTGATAGAATCTCTAGTTTTCCCCCACATTTCTGTCTTGGTGGTGGTCATAAAGAAATTCTCTGGTCTACCTTGTCTAATAATTATAAGACCCCTATTTCAGAAGGCGAAATACCCAGGAGGAAGGAATGTTTCAGAAACACCAAAAATAATCTGGACAGGTCTTGCTGGATTTCCCCAATATGTCTATTACCATTATATTTTAACCCTTCTTGCACAATCATTTCTATATGGTTCTCCATGCTTCATTCATACTTGTACAGTGTGAGGTCTCCATAAAAATCTAAAATAGCAGGGTTCAGAGACCTTCTAGACAGCCAAGCATGGGGAAGCTTGCAGGAAGGTTACCAAGAACTCATCCACACGCTGGAAGGGTAACACAGAAGCTTTTGAGCTTGAGACTGTTCCAGACCTCATCTCATGTATCTTCATCTGGCTGATTATTTGTATCCTTTATAATACACTGATAAATGTAAGTATAGTGTTTCCATGAGTTCTGTAATCAAACCTGAGAAGGGAACTATAAGAACCTTAATTGCAGCTGATCAGCCAGATGTTCTGAAGGCCTACACTTGCAACTGGGTCTGAAGTCGGGCAGTCTTCTGGGGCCAACCCCTCATCCTGGGGATCTGATGCTAACTCCAGATAGGTAGTGTCAGAATTAAAGTAAAGGACAACCAGCTGGTGTGTGGTGCAGAATTGCTTGCTTGCTTGCTGGTAAGGAGAAACCCCACAGATCATTTCTGTGTTGTGAGCACATTGTAAAAGAAACAGTTTTAGTTTGTTTCTTTCTACACAGTATATAAAAGAAATAATAATAATATTAGGTATTGGCTGAAAGGTTGTAGAAAGAATACACTATCTCAAAGAATCACCCTACAGATTATTTCTTAATTGTATAGAGAAAGATAATTTTAGTCTTTTTTTTTTATTTGGCTGTACTGGGGTTTGAACTCAGGACCTCCTGCTTGCTAGGCTGATGCTTTACCACCCGAGCCACTCCACCAGCCCGAGAAAGATAATTTTAAAAAGGAGACATTACTAGGCATGCCTTAAACAACTGAGGGTATTTGTGCCAGAAATATTTGTCATGAGTCTAAATAACCAGGAAAAAAATGTAGAACATTCTATAAGTCAATAAGTATAGCTTTTCAAGATTGTCTGTCTCCTAGCAAAAAACAAAACAAAAATGTGGAGAAAAAAACTAAATGAAATTTGTGAATCTACTGGTTCACAGTTTTTTTTATGTATGCAAAGCACATTTCATGGACAATTGGGGAAACTTAAGTATGGACTACATATTAAATAGTATTGAATCTATTTAAAATTGTATATGACAATGAAGCTGTGATTCTGTAGAAGAATGCATTTGCTTTTAGAATGTACTTATTGATTTATTTTGCTGCAATTACCTTCAAAAGGTTTGCTAAAAAGAAAAATCAAATATGGCAAAATATTAATAATGGTGAATCTAGGTGAGAAATATAGTGGTGTGTGTTGCAGTATTCTTTCATCCATTTAAAATAACTGAGATCTA